ATACCATTACATTTTTTCTTCAAAGGTTTATCTTTCAACCATTACAGCTTCTTCCCATAGAAGATTATGCAGTTTTTTCCATAATTGCTTACAAAGTGGTTCTTCAAAGGACACTAGAAATTATCTTCTGTTCTTACTTCTGGCTGCTTCCTAGAGCATTCTTTTATTTTAATGTTAAAGTATTTGAACCATTAACTGCAATTGATCTTTCCTGGTTGAAAATATGTTTTTGATTAGGAACTTCTGATGAATTAGTGAATCTTTTTGAAGATACATTGTGTTCCACTGGGATAAAATAGTGCTTTTATCTCACTTCCAGTTTCTTCCTAAAATTTCCCTTCTTTTAATATAAATCAGGAAACACTTGCTTTTTTCCCCCTTCTGAGTCATTCTCAAAAAATTCTTCACACTCCCTACAAAAATAGCAGGCTTTGGCTCTTTTTCCTGGCAGAGCTTTTTCTTTCTAATAAATGTCTCCTGATTTTTATGGGCACCTGAAGATTGGTTTGGTTGTCTTCCACAATTGATAGCATGCTTGCTTATTACTACTGTCTTCTTGACTGGCCTTTTTGACAAGCTTCTACCATTTTAAGTGTTGGGGCTCAATGAGTAGGATCCTCAGTGATTTATGCTTGTGGCATCGTAGGATTTAACACTTTTGAGATCTCTTGTGCTGCAACTTGATTACAGATTCTGACCTCCACAAGACACTATCTTCTGGAAACTGACTGATCTTATTTGTCAGGCTTTCTTTACATCTGAGACAGGAAACAATTCAAGGAACAATTCTGATAAGATCCTCAGAAAAGTGATATTTATTAGGAGGAATATGGTTTTAAGACCATTCCAGAATGCTTTACTTTCTAATGAAATGTGTGTATGTATACAGTACACGTATTCATATAACCCACACAATTATGATGACAAAATGCTTGGCATTTTCTCCTGGTGTTGTGGTGGCTAGAAAGGAGAGGACACCTGTTGCTTTTATAAGGAAGGGCAGCCTGCATCTGCTCTTTGCTTTGATGATTGTCAGTTTCTTTGTCAGTTTGCAAGCTGATGTTTACACTAGATTTGGGCTGGCAGTGCTGTCATCGTTAATCTGCTTGTTCTACCTCCAGTAATTATAGCTTGTTCTTCACTTATACATGAGAGATACATAGATCACAGGCAGAGAACAAGATGTCATAACTGGCTCTTCAAGTGGTTATTTGTTAATTCACACAAACCTCCCATGTTTTTTGTACAAGCAATATATCCATCATGCTAGTCTCTCTGTTGGTGTCAAAGAACTGAGGTAGATCACTGAGGGAGCCTGGGGCCAACTAAGGATCACCCTATACCAGAAGCCAGAAATTTCAAAGCAAATCACCAAGCTATTGTCAGTCTGCAATGATAAACCATCATATTACAAACTAATACCTATCCCTGATTTAAGATGCACATGTAAGAGACTGAAAGAAAGTTAGATGTTGGAGAAACAACTAAGACATATTGGATAAGAATAAAACATGATACCTGGGAAAGTTTTGCATTGTCTTATACATGCAGTTGGATTTATTTGGTAAGAAACTAAGTTCTTACATAAGATTTTTTTGCTGCTCAATTTTATGTCAGTCAAACATTCAATTTAATAGGAGAGGAAAAAGAAATGACATTTTACTTTTCTCCTCCATGACCCACCATGCTTGTTCTACGCAATTCAGCTAATGATATATGAATATGAGCAGCATTTTAATTCCCCTTCATTTGCTAGTTTACCTCATTGTTTGAAGTAGGCACTTATTAGAATACTGCTTTAAAAAGGCTTTCTGGATTCCTCAGACTTGGGTAATTTCCAATCCAAGCCAGTTTCCAATTTTCCATGGTTGGGCAAGAAAATCGACAAGCTTCATACTGTCATAAATAATTAGATTATGTAGACCAGACATGTCCAATCTTTTGGCTTGCCTAGATCTGTGTTTTTCAAACTTCAAGCTGTGTGAACTTCAGCTTCCAGAATTCCCTAGCCAGCATGTTCAATGGGGAATTCTAGGATCTGGAATTCTGATATCTTAAAGTTGCCAAGTCTGAAAACATTGTCCCAGCTTTTCTGCAGTTTATGGTATTACTGTCCAAGGATCTTTCTGGAGTGCTTGGCAGGTTTCACAACTGGGGGGCCCTTGTTTGCAATTCTTTATGTTGGGATGGTTCTAGATGGACCATGGCTAGCAACTAGGGCACAAAGTGGGACTTGTTATATGAAGTCTCTCAAGGCACTATTTTGCCCCTGATGTTTTTAACATAGACATAAAACTCTTGCAAGAACATCAGGAGATAGGTTTATGGCATTCACATATTTTTCTTTGTGACAGTGTCATCAGGCAACATTAAAGCTCCCTGAATACCTGCCTATAGACAGCACCGGATTGGATGAAAGAAAATAAATCAAAATAAAATGGAAACCCTTGATGTGAAAGAACATAAATCAAGGTCTATGGTAGATCTGCCTATTATGAATGAGGTCATACACATCTTTCTTTTGTCTTTTTAATCTCTGTTGTGAAGGATCTATGCTGCAAACCATCCTGCTGCTTTTTATGTTGTGCTCAATAACAAATACCAGCATTTGTTTTCAGGCTAATAACCCACTTACATTGTGATTCTGGTTCCTTTTCACTCTATACTTCCAGACCACTGAATTATATTTAAAGAATGCTTTTTTGGTGTTCTTGCATTATTGTGTAGATTGTGCATAAATAGACATCAGCTAAAATGAAGGTCCAGAATATAATCCTAGCTACTGTTAGTTCTCTCTGTGGCCTCCACTCCCATCAATCATGTTATCCTTACAGCCCCATTTTGAGAACTGGGAACCAAAGGCCCTCTTCTACATAGTAGTTCTAATTTTTCCTGAGTAGATAGTATTCACTGGAGAACTGCTGCTACTCAAGAGGCATCAGAGGGTTCACAACCTCCATTATTTAATATGACCAATGAAGCCCCCGGGAGGCCATTTGTCAGTTTGGGATGCAACATCATCAGTATATTAATGACAATAATACATCACCACTCTGGACTGGTCTGTAGTTAAAAGTCCTGACTCAGGATCTGGAGACTGTTTCATAATTGGAATGGGAAGAAACAAGCTGGAATTGAATCTTGCAAGTGTGTTGCTTATTCAGAAAAATATCTGGCAATTCTCATGTCTCCATATGGGTAGGCTGTTTTCCAAAAGAAGCAGGTTTGCAACTCAGCGTTCTTCCTGAACAGGCATTTGAGGCTATGGTTAGGGAGATTTTTCCCCCCAGGGCATTTGGCTTTCTTGTTGTAGCCCCTTCTGAAGCACTTTGCCAGGGCAATGATCATCCATACTATGGCCTCACTATCTCCCACATCAGCTACTGCAATGTGCTTTACCTGGGTCTGCTTTAAAGAATACCCCGAAGCTGGCACTGATGGAGAATGCAGCAGCTCATCCGCTGGCAGGCAAGAATTACTCCTTTCATATAAAGCCAATGTTGCAGATGCTACCTTGGCTTTCAGTAGTTTCTAGAATTCAGAGTGCTGCTTTTGACCTATGAAGTTCTCCTTAGGAGTCCTTAAAGAGAGCCTTTGATACTGCAAGGACACACTTATCTCTTAACCCAAAGCCAGGTTACTACTATACCTTGAGTTTCATTGGCACAAAGTCATCACTGAAATTATTGTGGTGAGGCAAGCTTTTGAATAAAATCTGAGATTTTATGAACCGGATGAAAGGTGGCCCTGGGTAACTACTGATTCTTTCATTGTATTATAATTCATTATTTTAGGAAACGCAGGCTTTGCAAGAGCAGAACTTGGAGGCACCATAAACACAGGAGGGTTGTTCAAGCAGCTGCCCTTAAAAATAACAACAGAATAACAGAGTTGGAAGGGATCTTGTAGGTCATTTAGTCCAACCCCCCTCTCCCAAGCAGGAGACCCTATAACTGTGATGGCGAACATATGGCACGTGTGCCACAGGTGGCACGTGGAGCCATATCTGCGGACACGTGAGCCATTGCCCTAGGTCAGGTCCAGCACGCATGCGCGCGCCGGCCAACTGATTTTCACCTGGCCCCACCCACACCACCCCTCCCCTCCCAGGAGTCTCCACGTGGCCCATTTTGGATGCCAGGTAAGTACAGGGCTTTGGGAGGGCGAAAAACGTGCCTCCTGGAAGTCCGGAAATGGGCTGTTTTCAGCCTCCGGAAGGCTGGGGGAGGCTATTTTCGCCCTTCCCAGGCTCCAGGAAAGCCTCTGGAGCCTGGGGAGGGTGAAAAACAGGCCTACTGGAAGTCTGGAAATGGGCCATTTCCAGCCTCCGGAGGCTTCAGGGGGGGCCTGCTAGGCCCAAAACAGAGTGCGGGGGGGGGTCACGTGAGCATGTGCGGGAAAGACGGGGCAGCACAGGGGGGTTGCATGCACATGCGCAGGGGTGCAGGGTGCGCGGGGGTCATTGCATTGTAGGTGTGCGCACCCGAGGAAAAAAAGGTTTGCCACCACTGCCCTATACCATTTCTGACAGATGGCAAGTCCAGTCTCTTCTTGAAACCTTCCAGTGATGAAGCTCCCACCACTTCCGAAGGCAAGCTGTTCCATTGGTTGATTGCTCTCACTGTCAGAAAATTTCTCCTTGTTTCTAGGTTGAACCTCTCCTTGTTCAGTTTCCATCCATTATTCCTTGCGGTGCTTTGGAAAATAGCTTGACCCCCCTATTCTCTGTGGCAGCCCCTCAAATATTGGGGAGACTGCTATAATAATAACCGAATGCAAAGCGATTTCTCTTTATCTGACCCGTTAGCTTACTCGGGGTTTCCTCGCGGCTCGGGGGCCCCTGCTGACCCTCCTCCTCCCTCGGTAGCGCGTTAAAGCGAGTCAACCCCCGCTCTCCTCACAGCCACCTCCACCTGCCGCCGCTCAGCCTCGCTCCTCGCCCGCCGAGTGTGTGTGTGTGTGAGTGTGTGGCGGGGGGGGAGGCAACCGCGCCCCTCCTCCGTCACGTGGAGCAAACAAATCCTCCCGCGGCCGCCCTGCTCCACTTCGGCCAGACGGCTCCATCGGCTCCCCTCCAGGGCGGCCGGCCACCGCCATGAAGATGCACTTCAGCATCCCTCTCTCCGAAGAGCTGCTGGAGAAGTTTGGCGGCCGCTACGTGGTGGGGTGGCTTCCCTTAAAGGGGGAGGGAAGGAGGGGTGGATCCCGACACGAGGGGAGGCGGGAAGGGCGAACTAAGCCTTGCCAGGTGCTCCGGCGAGAGGCAGGTTTTGCTCCTCGGGAGCGCTGGCCATCTCCTCCGCGGGGGAACGGGGTCCTTCGGTCCCCGGTTGCCTCATCCCGGCGAGACCTTTGTCGGCGGGAAAAAAAGGCGGGGGGGGGAAGCGTAGTGCGGCGGGGTGGGGAAGCACGGAGCGAAGAAATGAGGGGAGGGGGGTTGTGTTGGCATCCGAGCAGGTGGATTTGATGGCCGACGACCCCCGTTTAAACGGGGTGGGGTGGGGGTCGGAGGATCAACAGTTGGGCAGCGGCTGGCGGCCTGGGTGGGATTAAAACTGTGGCGGCGATCCGGAGAATGAGCGCGCCCCACCCATTCCTACAGCCCCGAAAAGGAAAGGAAGAAAGGAGAGCAAAGATGGTTCTGTGGGGCGGCGGGCGGGCGGGGGTGGGTCTGGGGTGGGGTGGGGAGCTCAGCTAGTGCCCGTGCAAAGCGTGGGCTGGGCGGCGTAGGAGCGTGGATAAAGACTTCCCGGGGCGGGAGAGCGAGGCTCTCGGTCAATGGCCAGCTGGCCTGGATGCGCGTTTCTGTGCCTGAGAGGGGAAGCCCCTGTTGAGGGGCTTGAGAGGAAGAAAAGGGGGGGGGAGAGATCAGAAGGAGGTTCCGAGAGGGCACCGGGGGTGTGGAGGGGACTGAGGAGGCGAAGAAGGGGAAAGAAGGAGAGTTTTGAATTGAATTGAATTGAATTGAATTGAATTGAATTGAATTGAATTGAATTGAATTGAATTGAAACTTCACCGACTTGGCCAGCGCTCAAAGCTGCTTGAGGAAATAACACCTATAAACAAGTTGATGACAGAAATGGGAACGAGCGCTCCAATAGGTACTAAAAATCGCCACAGAAGTGTGGGAACAAAAAGAGAAAAAGACAAGTGTTCTTGTGCTGCTGCTTGTAAGGCTCCTTTCAGGGGATCTGTGAAAATTCGCAAGCTTCCTTTTAATTTGTTTTGGCAGGGCGGGATACCTTTTAAAGACCGTTTAGGTCTTTAAAATATTCCAGACTGAAGGAATGGGCATCTTTTCTAGAATGGGACTAGTCCAGTTGTTTCCCCAATCTTGGCAACTTAAAATGCTGGGTGGGGAATTCTGGGAATTGAAGTCCACTTGTCTTACAGCCATTGAAGTTGAGAAAGTCTGACCTAGTCTCAAGGGCCAGTGCTCCTCAATAAAGAGATAATCAATCTATATCAAATCTGTGTGCAAGGGTATTCATGGTGTGTGTGTGTGTGTGTGTGTGAGAGAGAGAGAGAGAGAGAGAGAGAGAGAGAAGTCAAGATGGTGGCCACAACGATGCAAAGCTCCACCCTTTTGTACACACCTAACGTGGTTGTGGCTGCCACTATGACTTGAGGCATGCCAGGGCCAATTAAGACCCATAGGAATGAGGTTCCTCTTTCTTGGCCAGTAGGTATGCAAGGTTGAACACAACTGATAGGAAGTGGTGAGTTCTTTTAACAATCTTGAAATGATTTATTTGGAGACTGTGTATTTTCAGCTGTATTCTGTATATTTGGAGGGCTTCCTTTTCTGCAAGTTACGTTACAGTCAGTTGCACCGCTGGAATGAACAGGTAAGATGAAGTATTCATTCCCTTTATTTATTTTTTTCTCATCCAACCACTATTCTTGTGTGCGTGTGGGTTTCATTGTCAAAGAGCCACAAAATGTTCTTCACAGAGGAATGGTCCTTGTATAACATCGATAATTGATTTGTTTGCATAGGGTCATCAACACAGTTCAGACTTAAGTTTTGCAGCATGTTTGTCATCTTTCTAGCTTTGTACATGAAAGAAATGTTTACACATTAATAGTTTACTGCTGCATGAAACTTTGTGTATGTGCAGAGACATACACACATCAGTAGAGACACTCCCCTTTGCCTTTGGATAATAATCTCTCTGCGTATTTTCAGACCTAGGGCTTCCCATGAAAGAAGTGAAGACCATACATATCAAAACCATGTTCAGAAAACAGGCCTTTAGTGAAAATAACACCAGTATCATTGAAGCTTTAATTATCCCAGTGAAACTATGGAAGTTAGAATATAAGTTAGAGAAAGAAAGGTTTCTATGTCCTTCTTCTACCAAACTCTGTATCTATGAAGGAGATCAAAAAAGTCAAAATTGCAGTTGTGAGAATGCAATGGAAGATCCACTTTCTTTTCATACAATAAGCTATATGTAAAAGGGAGCCAGACTTCTGTTGTATAAGTAATGGCCAATTTCTTGACTTCCTTGAACTTCCCCACCAAAGGGAATCTCTTAAAATTGAACAATTGTAAAAGGGAGAGAGAGAGAACAAAATAATATTATTCAGTGAGTGCACATAGTACTTTATAGAGAATAATAGAGAATAACAGAGTTGGAAGGGACCTTGGAGGTCTCATAATCGAACACCCTGCTCAAGCAGGAAACTCTAATCCAGGGGTCTGCAACCTTAAGCACTCAAAGAGCCATTTGGATCAGTTTTCCACAGAAAAGAAAACACCAGGAGCCACAAAACCTGGGTGGGCGTGGCCAACTCGATGTCACTCACTTCCACCAATCACATGACCCCCCCCCCAGCCATGCCTACCCAGCCAGTCATTAGGGCAGAGAACCAGTTGTTAAAAAACACTGGGAACCACAAAACCCTTTTGACATATCTCTCTCTCCCCTCCCTCCCTCCCTCCTCTCTCTCCCTCTCTCTCTCTCTATCTCTCTCTATGTCTCTCTCTCTCCCCCTCTCTCTGTATCTCTCTGTCTCTGCCCTGGCTGCTTCTCTATCCCCGCCGTCACCCTTATCTTCTCAGGCCAGGCGAGGAGTGACTGGGAAGGGAGGGCGAGGGGTGGGGCCAGCCAGTGGTGGGATCACTGAACTGGGAGCCACAGCAGAGGGCCCAAAGAGCTGCATGTGGCTCCGGAGCCTCAGGTTGCTTACCCCTACTCTAAACCATTCCAGACAATGGCTGTCCAGTCTCTTCTTAAAAGCAACTTAAAATTAACAAGAAGAAAGCCATGCCGAAACCAACATTATCAGAGCAAGCTACTGTATATAACCAGGTATCAAATCCCACACTCAGTAGCACTGATATTGTTACCTAATTGGGTATTGAAATGTCTGCAAGCAAGCAACATAGTTCAGAGAGTACCAAGGACTGCACAATTCAACACTGAGTTGCATATATTCTCTTCTATTGGTAACATAAGAGCAGGCCAATTCAGATCTCTTATTGATGCCAACATCCTTAAAGGAAGTAATCTTTGGGAATTTATTAATATCTTCAAGTAATAAATATTTGATATTTGGTAACAGATTAGTACCATTTAAAGATTATTTATCTTTTCAGCTAAGAAGAGTCTTTGGAAAAGGAATGCCTTCGTTTCCTCCAAAATTTTTCCTTGCAATGACAAAGTCAATGGCTGATGAAAGGAGAACACAGCTAGAACAATATCTACAGAACGGTATACTGAATGCTACTTTGGCAACTGGTTTTTTAATGAGCGTTCAAGCAAATATTGAATTTGTGCATGCTATGATTTCATAGACCTAGAAAGGGTTGCAAGGAATTGTGCAGAAAAAGATGTTTTAGGTGACGGGGACTTTAAAGGAAATTTATCAACAGATGTAACGGGGTGTATTTAGTGCAGTTCTTAAGGGCCAGGAATTCTGCACCATAACCTTCCTAGTGGAGCTTACTGCGTTTTTTAAACAGTATTTCATGAGGTTTTGGGACTCTCAGAAAATGCTGTAATAGAATGGGAAATCCAGTGATATCTGGAGTAGAAGTTCAATCTGCAGTATAGAAAAAAAAAAAGCAAGAGAATTCACCTTGTATAAGTGTTCTAAACTGAATCTGATTTCCTGAGATTAAGCATTAATCTAAACATTTCATTTATGAAAATCTTAAACTTCCTTTGAGTTATATGCCTGTATCAGAACTTCAGTTATTCCATTATTATGGGCCATCAAGTCATTTTCAACTCGTAGCAACCACATAGATTTTCCTCCATGATGATCAAGATTTTAGGATGTAGGGTATTCCCCCCCCCAATTTGTTTAATGAATTGCGCATATTTTTTCTCGGTGTCTCTCTTGACCATCTGTGGAATATTTTAAGATATATTCTCTGTTCTATTGCAATTTCTTCTATTGCAGTTTCCGTTGACCCAAGTGTTACAAGCAGTGATGTCTTTATCAGTTTCTTTAGGAAATTACAACAGGTAAGGTTTTTTTTTGTTTCAAAGTAAGATGTTAAGAGAAGGACAGTTACCTATGCTCCTGTACTTATAGACTAAAAACTGGTTTGCTGTTATTGAGGACTATAATAAAATATTTAAATATAGAGTACTGGTGTTCAGGATATCAGGCAGCCATTTTCTATTCCTCTCTTCTTTTTGCCCAACCTTTGGTCTCCACCCACAGCAACAGTCAGCCAGCTTTTTGTGTGCATTAGTACATGTAGTCCTTAATTTATGACTGTTATTGATCCTGGAATTACAATAATAAATCATACTAATAAATAGTACTAAATTGTTAAGTGGGTCATCATCTGATTTGATCTGATTTGATTTTGCTACATTTTTTGTAAAGGTGAAGGTAAAGGTTATCATCGCACATATGTGCTAGTTGTTCCTGACTCTAGGGGGCAGTGCTCAAAGCCGAAGAGCCAGCGCTGTCTGAAGACATCTCCGTGGTCATGTGGCCAGCATGACTAAATGCCAAAGGTGCACAGAACGCTGTTACCTTCCCACCAAAGGTGGTCCCTATTTTTCTACTTGCATTTTTTACGTGCTTTCGAACTGCTAGGTTGGCAGAAGCTGGGACAAGTAACGTGAGCTCACCCTGTTATGGGACACTAGGGATTCAAACCGATGAACTGCCAATCTTTTGATCAACTAGCTCAGCGCTTTGGCACTTAGTCATAAGTATCTTTTTGGAGTCCATCATAGCTTCAAACAGTCGCTAAGTGACCAGTTGTAACTAAGGACCACCCGTATGTTCAGCTGTGAGCTGTTCTTAATTACTTTCTTCTATGTACATGCCAGCTATTGAGTTCAAACCGCTTTGTCTTTTGGAAATTATTCTTGAAATTAACCATTTTAATCTTGTTCCAGGCTAAAAATAGAGTTATACATTCAGTGATAAATTGCTACTTTTAAAGCAACTCAAACACGGGGAGTGAGATTTTCAGTTTAATAATGTTCTTTATTAGAATGTACCATGGTTTTTTTCCTTGCATTCAGTTGACCGGAGGAAGGTTTTGCTGTAAAAGTCCTGATATCTTTTTGGTCCTTACAGGTTTCTCAGGAAACATTTTGAAAGGTACATTAAAATATGATAAGCTTCTTGAGGTCCGGCATTAAGTAAATATTTTGGATTTGTGGCAGGACAAGAGGTGAGAGGTGTGTTGACATAAAAATGTCAACATCCCCTTTATGTTACAAGAGTGGTGACACTTATCACTTGATACGTACTTGAAGGCATTGTTGTAGCATTTTTGTTTCTGAACTCTCCATGGCTGAGAAGTTGAAAGAAGTGTGTCAACCTCTTTATGGGACATTCAGTAGTTTCTTTTCCGAGCAATAGAATTTGATGGGGGGCCCTGCTATGTAAAACCATAAGCAGTTCCCTGCTGGATTGGACCCCCTCTAGTCCAACTGCACAAGAAAGTCCCTAGTGGTTGATCTTCAGAGGCCGTCATACCACCATCAAGGCTAATTACCGGTACTTCCAAGAATTAGTCCAAGTCTTTTAGTCCAAATAGTCCAAGTCCATACTGGTAGTCAGTAGCACAACTCATAAATTCCAACACACATACGCACACACGCTGTCTTTCCATTGCAGGATGAAGGCTTCTTCTGCATGTTTCCAACCTATACAATCCTGAGCTTTCTTTTCCCAATTGGTGCCTGTGTGTGTATGTGTATCAATTAAAATATATAGAAAATAATATTATATTATATTAAAAATATAATCAGCATAAATACATCAGGGCAAAAGTATGTATGTATGTATGTATATGTATGTGACCACATTTTACAATATATTTTTTTGCCACAAACTGGCGTTTATTTCCAATTGGCTGAAATGCACTCACTTAACAATCATGATAGACGCTTAGCGACCCCTGCAAAAAAGGTTATCTAATCGGGCATGGTCACATCAAGTGACCTGCTTAACAACTTGTATGATTTACGACTGTCATCTCGGCCTGAATGTCTACATTGGCCTGTATGGCTGTCCATATTATGCATTCATGCAAAAACTATATACAGCCCATTTTGTTTCTCCCCTAATGAAGGAGTAGGTACCCACCCTTGTGGATGCTTATAGCTGAAACTCTTCATTTGTCAGAATAATCTCCTCCTTTTGTGCTTTCAAGGAAGGCTGCCTGCACACTCTGTAAATTCTCTGTAGATTTCTTCCTAAGGAAATACCTGTGTGCTCTGATTTGCAGTGTTTTCTCTTTCCTGTCTTCTGTGTTGTGTGCTCATTCCATCTGAGTTGAGAAGCATAAAAGGATTGCTTGTACATTTATAGCCTGTACATCTATTGCCAATCACGTGGGCATGTGGTTGGCATATCATTGGCATAATCTCTGATTAATAAGGCCTGGCCATCTTTTCTAGGGATATCGTCTTGCCGCTTTCACCTCATTTTAAACTATTTCCCTTTAAAGTCGTGGTACATTTGTAAATAATATAAGAAGTCTTCCAATAATTTAATGGAAGCCTCTCTTTCTCTTTTGCCCAGAGCACCACATCATACTGTTGCTCTATAAAATAAGCATAGTAAGCATACCTGATGCACAACCAAATCACTGGGATATAATGAATATGGAAAACAAATATTCTTATTCTATTGCAGTCTAAACAAATAAAATTAAACTGTATAATTTGCCCTGGGAAATGGTCTGCAAATCATATAGCATTCAACAATGCTAACTTTTAATTAAGCGGTTGATGAATATCCCAAGTATTGTTTTTAATTATCAAATGTATTTGGCACATTATCTCCCAAAAGCTTTGGCCTAGACTTGTAATTCAACATTTGCATATTTTCTCCTTGTGTATTGGTGAAATTGTGGGCCCAACTAGTATATTCTTTACAATATGTATCTTGGCTAATTGAGACTGATGTGGACGTGCTATAGGTTGTTGCTATGATTATGATTAGTCACACAGTCAGTCAGATATTTAGACCGGATTTAGCATTTTTGTCTACCTATCAAGTCCTTCCCAAGGACCTGGGATAGGGAGGTATTCTTGTTGGACGGTGTTAAAGTTATCATTGCAGAATATAAGCTGTTCCAAGTAAGGCTGCCTTTTACAATTGACTGATGGTGATTTTGGCATTCAATGGCATTCAAATGATGCTCCAGATGTTTTATTTAAGTTTTATTGCACCCAAGAGGCCTAATACTATTGGTACTATTTTTGCTTTCTTTTGCCACTGTTTGCAGTTTTTATGTATTTTGTGATTTTCTCCACAGTTCCTTTTCTTCTATTCTGCTTTTTCCAGTACTTCTATGTATACTATGCAGATTTTTTTTTGACTTTCTTATCAACAGTTGTTAGTCTGAAATGTTTTGCAGGTGCTTGTTTGTTTGAACTCTAAAATCCTCAAGCACTTTAGCTTCTTTGTTTTCTGTTACTTTGTCTATTTTGTGGTTTCCCCCTCCCACCCTCCCCCATCAGTTCTTGCTTGCAATCAAATGGTATTTAGGCTGCTGGTTTGAGCTCTGAGCTTGGCAATGTGGTTGCAAACATTTTGTCACCATTCGAGGAGACATCGTCAGTGCGTTTTAATGCACTGACAATGTTTCCTTGAATGGTGACGAAACATTTGCAACCACATTGCCAAGCTCAGAGCTCAAACCAGCAGCCTAAATAACAACTCGAGCTATTAATCTTCAAACACATTTCAGTCAAATGGTATTCTCTGCAGATCTCCCAATGCATCACTGTTGCTAGTTTGTCATTGTCACATCGTTTCTAGTCAGCATATGCAATCTTCTTGCAGCAGCTAACTTGGTGGTGCAATGTTTCTTTGTTATAGATTTGATTTGCATGGCTGCCTATGGCCACCACAGGTTAAAAACAAACCAATAAAACCAATTTTTAAAAAAATCAATATACAAACATAAAAACTGTCCATAATCAATTTCAAAACAGAAAATTGTGATTCAGCAACAGAAATCCATCCACATCAGCTCTTTGCAGCCATTGTAAAAGCTTCCTACAATGGCTGCACACCCAGTTCCTGCAACAGAGCCTTATCTTCAGGGTCTTTCTAAACATTGGGATGGTTGGAGTCAATTTTGGGGGAGGGGCTGACATTTCACAGGGCAGATGCACAGCAGAAAAGACTCTCTTTCCGGGTCCACTAAAATAATAGCATAGATTTCTGCATATCATTTTTTCAATAGGAAAGCTGATTTATGGGAACAATAATAAATTTTATGAAAGCCCAATTGCCATTTATGTACAACAATCCATTGAAGACTATTTAGTCCAATCTAATTAATTTGAGATTGATAATATATGATAATATAATAATTATCAAATGAATGTAGTGGAAATGTTCTGATATCCTGGTATATTTTTTTGTAAGATATTTTAGAGATTGTCTTGGAACTTTATGAGCAATAAATTAATGAACAGGTTTATTACACCTTTTGCTCCCCTCTGTAAAATATCTAGTTTTTGCCAGAACATTATAACTTCAGAAAAATGATTGGTTTCTTGGAAAAGATGATATAAGCTTAATGGTTCCTTTACCTTCCCCCTAGTTTAGCACTAAAATACTTTTTCTTGAAATAAAGCCATGTTTTCAGCATACTGATGAGACCACCCATCAATGCCTTCAACCTTAAGCTTTCATGTCTTGCAGGAAACATTTAAAATCCAAACCCAACAAGCTTTTTTGGATGTTTATCTTCCTGGTGGAAGGTATCTCAGGATTGATATTCAGACATCAGATACTGCTGAAAGAGTGCTAGAGGCAAGTAATATATACACATTGATCTGGCAGCATCTCATATGAAGTGTGTCCAAGCATAATTAGCAAACTTCCCATTTTTGAAGTATATTGTTACAGATGCCTCATAAAACAGCAAATGGGCTTACACATCACACAAAGTGAGGGTTGCTTAATTGTGGTTTATTGGTTTATTGAATAAGCCATAAATCTTAAAACCCAGCCACGATGGTTTGTGCACTTGCGCAGCATACTGTGGAATTGCTGTTCAGAGCTATCTGCAGGGTATGGTTTAAAAATAATACAAAAACAGGAGGCGCTTCAGTTGCATTGTTTTGGCCGCCATCTTGTCTTTATAAACCATGCCAGTGTTTTCTGTCCCAGCTACAGACCCCAAAGAACGCAGCACACACAAAGTCCGTACAAACCTTAGTTTACTAATTAAGGACTACTAATGAGTTTTCTTAGTAGTTGTTCGAACACAAGTACAGTTTAAATCAGTCTTTTCTGAACAAGGGCTGTTAATTTAACTTCATTACAGCCGACAAGAATCCAAAGAATAATAACTCAATTCTGAAGCACAGTATTTCAGATAACCGTAATCTTACTGTGGTTGGCAGAATGCCCAGAAGCAATTTGCAGGAAAACTGACAAGAAAAGAGCAAGAGCCGATCAGGCGTTTCTGGAATCAAGACGCAAAGGAATATGAACGAAGTTGTTCCCTGCAAATTGCCTCAGTCGTCGTCCTTCCTTAAATAGGCTAGGGGCGTGGCCAATTAGCCCCAAGCCTTACTCTCGAGGAGACCTCCTCCTGAGGAGCCACTCCTGCCTTTTGGCAGCTCTGCGCGCTCATGCATCAAGAAGAGGCTCCTCCTCTTCTTCCTCTTCACTTATGGGAGCTTCTGGAGGTTCTGAAGGCCCTGGCTGAATCTCCGCCTCTGGCACCACATCTTCTCCAGCCTCCTCATTGTCTGACTCGAGTGCCAGCTGCACAGGCTGCTGGCGCATCACCATACCAGCCTTCTCGCTGTCGGAATCAGCTACTAGCTGCACAGACCGCTGACGGGCCACAACACAGTGGTGGGTTGCTCCTGGTTCTGTCTGGTTCTTGCGAACCAGTAGTAAAAGCCGTGGGAGGCTCCACCCACCTGCCCAGATGTCATAGTGGATGCTCTATGTATGCACAGAAGCTTCTGCGCATGCACAGAAGCATGTGCGCGCACGCTTCCATTGTGAACCAGTAAAGGTAAGTAGAACCCACCCCTGGACTATGCCCTGCAGACACCCTTGTTACTATACAAACCATAGTGACTGAACTCTAAGACACAAACCCATCCAGGCTGGTTTAGGATTCAACTTATTTTTCTCAAGCCAGGGTGTGTTGTGACTACCTAAAGAGATAGGCCAGGCAACAAAGGCCTTATTTGTTATAACAATACTTGGGGTTTCATCAGAGAGCCCTTGGGAAGGTTTTTTTAAAAGAAAATATTTCATTTACTTAAAATATTTTATCTTACTTTTCTATCTGAAAAAGACTTGGGAGAAAAAAATTGTTTTGTATTCATGAAATATGAATACAAAACATTTTTTTTTCTCCCAAGTCTTTTTCAGATAGTGAAAAAGTGAGATAAAATATTTCCTGTAGGAGAGAATTTGTAAAGACACCTACACTCAGTCAGCAGAAGGGCAGGCTAGAGTTTCTTAACGAGCTCACTAATTTTTTAAACAACAACTTAAAATAGTTAATTTGATAACTTTAACTCAACAGTTTAAGGAGAAAATGCATCTTTTGTTTTCCTCCAGGTGATATCATACAAGATTGAACTTTCTAGGGAGCTAATACAATACTTCGGCTTATTTCTTATTCAAGATCACAACAATGGACAAATATCTGGTAAGAAATCTTTTGTGTACCACACATTATTTTCATGTTGCATTTCACCTATATACAGACAGTCCTTACTTAACAGCTGCTTGGTTAGCAATCTTTCAAAGTTACACAGATTCCCCTCCAAAAGGTACTTACAATACAGATCCAAAATGGGTTTCAAAATTTTTTACTACCGGTTCTGTGGGTGTGGCTTGGTGGGCATGGCATAGCTTGGTGAGTGTGGCTTGGTGGGCATGGCAATGGAAGGATTCTGTAAAATCTCCATTCCCACCCCACTCCAGGGGAAGGATACTGCAAAATCCCCATTTCCTCCTTATCAGCTGGGACTTGGGAGGCAGAGAATAGATGGGGGCAGGACCAGTCAGAATTTTTACTACTGGTTCTCCGAACTACTCAAAATTTCTGCTACCGGTTCTCCAGAACTGGTCAGAACCTGCTGAAACCCACCTCTGGATCCAACATTCCAACATCCCCCCCAACCCAGGGTCATATCATTGCATTTGAAGTGTTTGGTAACCAGCTTGCATATAGGGTAATTTGCAGTATCTTCTTGTCACGGGACCAACATTTACAATTTTTTGAAATGGCATATTTAGTTAGGGACACGGTGGCTCAGTGGCTAAGACACTGAGCTTGTCGATCGAAAGGTCAGCAGTTCAGCAGTTTGAATGCCGCGTAACGGGTTGAGCTCCTGTTACTTGTCCCAGCTTCTGCCAACCTAACAGTTCGAAAGCACGTAAAAAATGCAAGTAGAAAAATAGGGACCACCTTTGATGGGAAGGTAACAGCGTTCCGTGCACCTTTGGCGTTTAGTCATGCCGGCCACATGACCACGGAGATGTCTTCGGACAGCGGTGGCTCTTCGGCTTTGAAACAGAGATGAGCACCGCCTCCTAGAGTCAGGAACGACTAGCACGTATATGCGAGGGGAACCTTTACCTTTACCTATTTAGTTACCAAAGACTAAACTATGTAAGTACATACCTAATTCTATAAAACACAGCAAAATATCCATTTTCCAAATTGATTATGGCAAATTGATTATGCTTAAGCCAGCTCAACCTGGAGAAAATTCATCTAACATCTTTCAACCTACATATAGTGCAAAAGACAACCCAAATACATTCATTTTCCCCCATCCCACCACCCTGGCAGAACAGACAAACACAGGGGGTATGAAGAAATGCCAGGCTCCCTAATTTCAATACACACACCTATTGCTAACACTTATGGCTATGAACACACATTTGAAAGTAAATGGGGAAAGTCTGCTAATAACTTAGAAGCTAGACAGGAGAAGTGAATAAACACAAAATAAATGAATATATGAGTAAGTGAAAACCGTATTTAAATTGCTCCTTGTTTCTTCTTCCTGTGATCATCAGGTTTGCATAATTTATAAAAGTCACAAAAGTCAGCAACTTGTGGCACATACACAGTATACCTAGCACTACCAATCGTGTGTTTAATTAGCATTACATTTAGATATAAATGTACCGTATATCAGTGGTGAAATGTAAAATTTGTTACTACCGGTTCTGTGGATGTGGCTTGGTGGTGGTGGTGGTTATGTGACTGGGTGGGCGTGGCCACTTTTTTTTTTTATACTTTTAAAACCATTTTTAAAATGCTTTTAAAAGCCTCTGACGATCCCAGCTGAGTTGCCTGATCGGCAGAGGCTTTTTTCTCTTTTAAAAGTATTTTTTCTACATCCTCTTCGAAGAGGCTGATCCGCGCGATCATCAGAGGCTTTTTACTTTTCGGCAGAAGAGGTTGTAGAAAAAATGTTTTTAAATTTTTTTTAAAAAGCCTCTGATGATTGCGTGGCTCAGCTGTGCATGGGGGGGGGCCTCAGGGATGTTTGCTACTGGTCCTCTGAACCACCCACCACCATTGCTACCGGATCGGGCAATTCGATCCAAACCGGGAGCATTTCTCCCCGCCGTATTTCTTTTTAATAGAATTTTAAAACATCAATATGTCTTCTTCCCCCTTTCTTCTTACCCATCCCCCTCCAGTGTTGAAAAAACTAGCAGAATTTGAACTTCCTTATGTGAGTCTCCGGAGTGCGAAAGAATCGGTTTTTAAGATTGGGATCAGAAAATGGTGAGCGGGAAGCAGAAGTGAAATGAGCAAGAAATATTTTAAAAATATCAATGTGCTGGAGGGGAAATGTCATAATGTATTCCATGTATGTTACAGCTTGTGGGAGAGTAATCTATTTTTTTAATTTGACACTTTCCAAATGCATTGGAAGCGGTAAATTTGGAATTCCCAAAAGTTCAAAGAGTTAATGTACATCAGTCAATGTATCGGAAATATTATTGGACAGCATGTCTGAAGTAGAAATCAAATCCAAATAGTCCATTAGCATCTATTGTATTTTTCGGACTATAAGATGCACTCCCCCCCCCCAAAGTGGTGGAAATGTCTGTGCATCTTATAGAATGAATGTTGCTGAAGCCCCGCCCACCCACTGGCCCCCACCCTTCGGCCTCTGCCTCCCAGCAATTTGCCTCCTTACAGCAAACAGTCTTCTCAGCTTCAGCACAGCCTGATTTAGCACGAACAGCTGATTGGAGGTTGGATCGGCCTCCCAGAATACCAATGATCAGCTGTTTTAGGCTGCGGGGATTGCTGCCACCTATCGCCGCCTCTGCGCACCCCATTTTCGGCCACCGTGCGTCCCATTTTCTGTACATCCCATTTGGTGGCAATAGGCAATGGTGGCGACCCCCGCTGCCTGGAACGGGCCGAAAACGGGATGCATGGAGGCTGAAAATGGAGCGCACGGGGGCAGAAAATGGGATGTACAGAGGCCGAAAATGTGACATGTGGAGGGGACGATAGGTGGCAGTGATCCCCACAGCCTGGGAGAGCTGATCGTCGGTATTCTGGGAGGCCGATCCAACTGCCAATCAGCTGCTCGTGCTAAATCAGGCTGTGCTGAAGTTGACCAGGTGTTTGCTGTTTGCTGCAAGGAGGCAAATTGCTGGGAGGCAGAGGCAGATTTTTTTTCTTGTTTTCCTCCCCAAAAGCTAGGTGCGTCTTATAGTCTGCAGTGTCTTATAGTGTGAAAAATACAGTAATTTCCACCTTTTGCTTGGATTGTCCATTAAAGTCCATGGTTGAAAAATCTAGTAAAGCCTTTTTCATAGGAATTAAATAACATTTAAGGATATGCAGCCAGTTACATTGTTTTCTCCAGCACCTAATGAGTTTTTTTCAGTAATTCTGTAAACATAGTGTCGTCATTGAATATAGAATAGGTTTATCTATTGAATATACAATAGATTCATCATCCTGATGAATAAAAACAAGAACAAAATAAGCTTGTTCTTCCCCATGTGTCATGTATATCTGTGGGGCTTTTGGCACATACATAAAGCCAAGAATACAAAATGATTTTAAGGAATGTATCATACATGTAGTATCAAGCATGATCATAACATGCAATAAAAAGTGTGAACTAATTGCTTTAATTCAGGTTTGTTTGTTTTTTACCTACAATATTTTGGTTATATTTCTCTTTGCATGTATGCCATTGGATTAATGGTTTCCTTTCTTGTACATTTTTGGGCAGGTATATGGATCCTTCTCTAGATAAAGTGTTGATGGACTGTAGAACTTCGGTGAACTTACTTTATATGCAGGTATGCTTAAAAAGAAGTGTGGTCTTTTTAAACATTGCCAGGCAAATTTTGAGATGAATTATCCTATGATTTATTTAACTTTGTCAATTAACACAGTTTCTCAATTCTAACCTGCTACTAGTCTACAGAAAGTAAACATATGTATCAGGGGTGAAATGCTCTCGGTTCGGACTGGATCCAGTAGCGATTGTGGTAGTTGGTTCGGAGAACTGGTAGCAATGGTGGCGTGACGCCTGGTTTTAACCAGGAAGTAATGTGTTTTTTACCCTCTGTGCATGTGCAGAAGGTTTTGCACATGCGCAGAGGGTCTGCCTGGTACATGCATTTCCGAACCGGTAAGGAAGGTAAGTAGATTTCACCCCGATATGTATTCTAGTCTTGCTTATATGCTTTGTTTTGTTTTGTTTTTCTAAAAAAGGTTGTACAGGAGCTAGAGATGAATTGGGTCAAACCTACTGAGGAACAGAGGCAGAAGCTTCTAATGCTGCAAAAAGCACCAAATAAATTGAAGGTAATGTGATTTTTAAATTATGATGGTCCTTTTCAGAATATATGTTATCATGTGAAGATACCAGAGAATGGATCCTTGTTTAAAGGCCGGTCTTTTTCTTCAGTTTTATTTGAGGAAGAATATCAACCTCCTGTCCGTGTTGAGTTTTTCAGATTTTTAAACATCAAATTTAGCCATTTATAAACTGACGGTCAAAATCACCATGTCTAAAATTCAGAAAATGCCTAACTTGACTCTGCTGGCATGCCAACACCCCCCCCCCCGAACAAAAGCAAAACAATTCTCAAACTGCCCCACATCTGTCCTGAATAGTAGCAGATTGTACCCTCTCCAGGCCTTGGCCTCAGTCCTAGGGCCACCATTGCCACTCAAAAAGGCCACTTTATGTCATTCCCCAAGGCTCATGAACCTTGCCTCACTGGATTAACTTGTTCTCATATCATAGCCCATGCAAGCTGTATGGAGAGGAAGCAGCCACTGAAAGCTGTGGCTATTTGCCCCAAATCATCAATGGCAGGTTTGACCATGATGCTGATGATATTTATGGCTGTGTTTACTACATTTCTAGGTCACCTCATTCTTGATCTCCCAACTGAGACATTTGTTCAATAGAGTGAAATACTGTCATACAACAGCAGTTGGGATACTCATCATAATATATAGCCATCTGTGCTTTTGAAAGTGGATGCATAGAGATTTGGTTCATAGAAGCTATGTATTTCTAGAATGTTACAGATAAAACTGCCATTCTATCCAAATCCGTCTGGACTATTGTAACGCTCTCTACATGAGGCTCCCCTTGAGGAGCACTCGGAGGCTCCAACTGGTGCAGAGTGCGGCCACGCGGGTGGTGACGGGAGCGACGTGGCGCTCCCATGTAACACCTCTCCTACGCGAGCTGCACTGGCTCCCGGTGGTCTTCCGAGTGCGCTTCAAGGTTTTGGTTATCACATTTAGAGCGCTCCATGGCTTAGGACCTAGTTATTTACGGGACCGCCTGCTACCACCAATAGCCTCCCACCGACCAGTACGCTCCCATAGAGAGGGGCTCCTCCGGGTGCCATTGGCCAAACAATGTCGACTGGCGGCCCCCAGGGGGAGAGCCTTCTCTGTGAGGGCACCTACTATCTGGAACGAGCTCCCCCCGGAAATACAGAGGATCCCGGATCTGCGTACCTTCCGTCAAGACTCAAGGCTCAAGACTTTCTTATTTCATCAAGCTGGCCTGACCTAAGTCTTTCCCCTTTTTAAATGGAAATTTTAAATTTGGTTTTAAATTATTGGGGTTTTAAATTTGTTCAGCCAAATTATTTAATTCGTTTTATTTTATTTTAAATTTTGTATTTATATGTTTTATTCTATGGCTGTTCACCGCCCTAAGTCCTTCGGGAGTAGGGCGGTATATAAATTCAATAAAAAAAAAAATTAACTATTCTCAGTTAAAAAAAAATTTTTTTTGCAAGATTTAGCCAAGTTAAATACATCTAATAAATATCACAATGAAATTTACTAGGAAGAATGTTTCCATTTTATTTATCAAGTTAGCTGTAACATTATCAAGCACCCTTCTCTTACGGCAGAGGGATTTCCCCTTAATATCCCTACCCCCATATCCTGAAACCCCCCCATAGTTCCAGTGAAGTTGAGTGACTCCTTCTTCTGTTATTGAAGCCCCACCAGAGTCTTCCCCTCTCTTTCAGAAGTAATTAAACTGAAGACTTGTAAAAGATACTCAGCATGCAAATGCTTTTCTGTGAAGCTTCCTCAAATTGCAAATGATCTGAAAACTGAAAAGGAGGCTATTTAAAAAAACACACACGTCCTTTGGGGTTGGAATAATTAGAGTATATTTGGTATAATTGGATTCATGTTTGGAAGCCGAGTTTTGTTTTCTTCTTGCAACTGGAATTTATATATTCATGCAGGGGTCTGGGCCGGAACTGCATTTAATTATATTGAGAGGATAGCTAGACTTTCATCCGTCTTTACATCAGTGCCTTGATGTTCATAATTTATTTATAATTCAGTCCCGCACTCAAATAAGCAAACATATACACTGAAATTTATGAGCATCTCTTTCCATTTTTTTTTTCTAATCAAAAGAAAGGGGAAATTGCAACTTACAAGAAATAAATTAGAATGCAGAATGCGGAATGCATTCAAACCATTCCTTTTTGATGTCTGTTAAGCTGCAATATAAGGATATCTGCAAGAGGGACCTAAAGGCCCTGGGAATGGACATTAATAACTGGGAAACCTTGACCTCCGATCATTCAGCTTGGAGGCTAAAGACGCAGCATGGCCTTTTCCAATTCGAAGAGACACTTGTTCGGCAGGCTGAGGCAAAGAGGCAGTCCCGGAACCAGGGAAATCTGGGGGCTGGGCAGGGGACAGAATGTATCTGCCCTCAGTGTGGAAGGGATTGCCACTCTCGAATTGGCCTTTTTAGTCACACTAGATGCTGTTTTAGGACCTCTTTCCAGAGCACAATACCATAGTCTCTTGAGACTGAAGGATGCCAATGAATGAATTTTTATAAAATGCCTAGGCGAATAGTTAACATGATAAATTATTATATTAAAAATGGGAATAGATTCCAATAGATCTATTGGAAGCATTGCCTTTTGGTAATTGCTTCTATGGCAGCACCAGCTGGATTGGCTTTGTTGTCATTGTCATGCCCTTGTTTTTGGAAGAGATGCAAAGTTATTTGCGCAGGAAGAAGCAGAGGACAAAAAGGTTGCTAGAGGGAGGATGGCTCCTGTGCAAAGATTGGAGTTTTCCCTTATTTAGTCTTGTACCAAACTTTCTTGGGCACAGGTGAATCCAGCCTTCTGATCAGCTTCAGTTCCTGTTTATGAATAGTGATATTCTTCCAATCCATTTCCTATTGTATGCTCAAAAAACCCAAATGCTATAAAATACGGAAGAGAAGCAGAATTTAAGTATTAGTTCAAGCTAAACTGGGAGTACACTTTTGGAAGAACTGGAACGTAAATATACCCAGCAACAGTAGTGGGATTCAAATCCCATTGCTACCAGTTCGCTCGTGGAGACACCTGGGCAGGTGGGCGGAGCCTCCTGCTGCCGCTGCTACCAGTTCACCCGATCCGGGGCGAACTGGTAGCAATCCACTGCCCAGCAAGGTTATAAATTGCAAATCATACATTATAAGAAAATAAGACTTATTTTTTCAGACCTTTATAGGAGGGGTGAAATGCTATCAGTTCGCACTGGTTCAGGCGAACTGGTAGCGATAAAAGCTACCGGTTCATCTGACAACCAGCTGTGCCACGTGATTTATATTCACTAGAAATCAGGAAATCCTGCTTTCTAGCAAATCTAAATCGCGTGGCACAGCTGTTTCCCCCCCTCGCTGTTCTACTTACTTTGTTAAGCCTTTTTTTCCTGCATGAAGCGCCAGTTTGGTGTGCATTGTGTATGTGCGCATGCAGCGTGCATTTGGTACACACTGTGCATGCATGCGCAGTGTGCTTTGGCATGCACTGAACATGTGCGCATGTAGCACACATTTGGCATGCACCACGCATGCGCGGGCAGCGAACTGGCGGCAATCCGGAGAGGATTTCACCACTGCTTTATAGACTGTGTGGGTGAATTTTGTACATTTGGAACTATTCCCCATGATAACAATAGTTTACTGTAAACTATAGTACGTAACTGTCAAGAAGAATCCTTAACATCTGAAGATGTAGAAAAGGAAATGCAAGTTACCTACCCAAAGAATTAAGTATATATTGGTGGGCTGCTCCTGGAATGCACATTTTTCCCCATCAATTAAATATTCCCTTATAACTTTTGGAATTTGTATTTTCATTGAATCATTGCATTGAGTTCTATACTCTTCAGTTAGCTGGGACTTGGTCATATTGTATGATAACAAAGGGCTTTGGAGCCATCTAGACCCTTGTAAGGGGATGTGGTGGCTAAGACGCTGAGCTTGTCGATCAAAAGTTCAGCAGCTCAGCGGTTCGAATCCCTAGTGCCACGTAATGGGGTGAGCTCCCATTACTTGTCCCAGCTCCTGCCAACCTAGCCATTCGAAAGCACGTAAAATATGCAAGTAGAAAAATAGGGACCACCTTTGGTGGGAAGGTAACAGCGTTCCATGTGCCTTTGGCATTTAGTCATGCTGGCCACATGACCATGGAGACATCTTCGGACAGCGCTGGCTCTTCGGCTTTGAAACGGAGAGGAGCACCATTCCTTAGAGTCGGGCACATATGTGCGAGGGGAACCTTTACCTTTAGACCCTTGTGAAGTTGGTTGTGTTGCATACCTTTACAGATGTTATGTGTAACCTACTGCCGTTTCTCTTGCACAGTTTTTAGAGCTGGTTCGAGAGATCCAGCATTATGGATATATACAACTTGCTCCTTGTTCCTGTGACTACCCTGAAGTTGGTTGTACTGCTACTATTCATGTGGGAAATAATGAGATTAGCTGCTGCATAAAGTTGCCTGGTAATCAGATCAAAGACGTCAATTTCAAAATCAACAGGATAAGGTGCTGGCAAGTCACATTTCTTGTAAGTACCTTTTGTATAATTTCGTATATGTCAAGTACTTGTTTAAGGGTTATTTTCTGAGGGGGTTGATTGTTGTTGTTGTTGCTGTTGCTGTACCTCCTCCAGAAATCCTCTTATGTGCATTAATATTCTTGCCTTATATAAATAGGGCTGTGAAGAATAACACATAGCCCATACATAGATTGTGTGTGTGTATTTGCTGAACATCTGGTAAGCTATTTGTGCAATCATTGTATCCCATCATTGGCCATATTTTAGGACAATCTTCATTGACCATGTCTTAGAACAAACTGATATTCTCCATGTGTGTTGAAATTGTAACTCTCAGAAAGCCTGGAAATTTGGCATTGTGTTTCAAACACATTGAGACTACCAAGTTGGGAAAGACTATTAGGAAATGCCCTTCCTAACCCAGGCCCCCAGCTTGACCCCCTATGAGACTAATGTAACCTTTGAGCTACCTGTTGGCAGGGTTGGAGACCCCTGAACTAGAGTGATTGGACCCTGCCTTTTTTCATTACAGAAATAAAAAGACTCCCAGGCAAGCATTAACAGTCTATCTATTGTTGGTGGCTGGCAGAATCTGCCCCTTATCTTGCCTTTATCTTTACAAAGGCCTTCTGGTTAATGTGATCTGATCAGAGCCCAAGAAGAAGACAGCAAGTAACTTAAGATCCCATCCCTTAATCATGGTTTTTAACTGTTGGCTATACACGCGTGTCTATATATTTTATAAAAGGGTCTGAAAAAGGACATACTTTTTTTCAAAATTTTGCAGTTTATCCAGGGGTGAAATGTAAAATTTGTTATTACCGGTTCTGTGGGCATGGCTTGGTGGTGGTGGGGGTAATGTGACTGGGTGGGCATGGCCAACTTTTTTTTTTTTTTTTTTTTACTTTTCAAAGCATTTTTTCTAATGCTTTGAAAAGCCTCTGCTGATCAGGAAACTCAGCTGGGATCGACAGAGAGGCTTTTAAAAAAATAACTCTCTGCCGATCAGGAAACTCAGCTGGGATCGTCAGAGAGGCTCTTTTAAAAATGCCTCTCTGCCGATCAGGAAACTCAGCTGGGATCGTCAGACACTTTTCAAAGCATTTTTTTTACCACCTCTTCGGCCAAGAGATTGCAGAAAAAAATGCTTTGAAAAGCCTCTGACGGTCCCAGCTGAGCCGCGGGATCATCAGAGGCTTTTTTTTTAACTTTTAAAAGCATTTTTTCGTCTGAAGAGATGGTAGAAAAAATGCTTTTAAAGGTAAAAAAAAAAGCCTCTGATGATCCTGCGGCTCAGCTGGGCATGGTGGGGCGGGGGGTGCAGGGATTTTTGCTACCGGTTCTCTGAACCACCCGCCGCCATCGCTACCGGATCGGGCGATCCGGTCTGAACCAGGAGCATTTCACCCCTGAGTTTATCATCATTATTAAAATATGTGCATGATGGAGTTCTTGATAGAATCTCATAGTATCACAAACCTCTGAGCCAGGAAGACGTTTTCTGTATTTGATATTTTATTCAAACTTGGAGCTGCCTGGTGATGGAAGGTAAAACTGGACTCTATGAAATGGAAATATGATCCTTCCAGTCCGTTCCTTCCAAAATATCCCTGTTAAATTCAAGAAAGGGCATTTTTCAGGATCACAATGCCCAGGTTTTAACAGTCTGCAAATACTAATTGTAGATGGTGAGGAGCTGTTTTCTTTTATTATTATGTTTTCCATTTTCTATCTGACATCTTATTGTGTATCTCTGTTGTTCTACACAGCCTTTCCAAGCCGGATCCTTGTTCATTTTCCCTGCCTTAGCAGAAGTGACTTTTCCCTAAAAAAAGAAGTACACAGTCTGGAGGGAAGAATTTAGGATATACTGTTCTATGGCTTTTGTTGTTCTTGATATTCTTTTCCATTTTGACTATTCAGGGATCAGTTTTAGGCCACGGACTTGATCAATTCTTGGAACTCAGAATTGAGTACAATGAATCCGATAAGTGGAGATGGATTGTCTTCAACACAAAGCAGGTTTGTTTGGGTTCATATAAAAGATTATTATATGGTTCCATAAATATCAGGGTTACTAATCTTTTCCAGCTCAGGTACACATTCCTGTTAATATTGATCCAAATAAGATTTCAGCAAATCCTCTTTCCTAATTAACTAAATATTTTACATATAAAAATATGTTTTGTCTCTGAGTTACATCTCTTCCCTCTTTTTCTAACTGGTTACAGGAGACAGGGTTCACTTCAGGATGGATTTGGTAGGGTTCAGTTCAGAGGTGGGTTTCAGCACATTCTGGCCAGTTCTGGAGAACTGGTAGTAGAAATTTTGAGTAGTTTGGAGAACTGGTAGTAAAAATTCTGACTGGCCCCGCCCCCATCTATTCTCTGCCTCCCAAATCCCAGCTGATCAAGAGGAAATGGGGATTTTGGAGTAACCTTCCCCTGGATTGGGGAGGGAATGGAGATTTTACAGTATCCTTCCCCTGAAGTGGGGTGGGAATGGAGATTTTACAGTATCCTTCCTCTGCCATGCTCACCAAGCCATGCCACACCCACCAAGCCACACTCACAGAACAGGTAGTAAAAAATTTTGAAACCCACCACTGGTTCAGTTCATATGGTAATTTAATGAATTGGAGGGGAAAAAAACATACAGCATCACATTTAGTGACCAATCCAGATTCAATACTTGTGAATTGAAACAATCATATTACTGATGAACTGGAGGAGTAAGACATCCATTCATTGAAAAGAGAACTATGTGGAAAACAGGTGAATGTGTAGTGTATTTATTTCGGAAGAGATGCTTGCCCAGTGACTTAAAAAATATAATCTAAATAGACTTTTATTTCTTTTCTTCCTTCCATATTTAATTTCCTGGAAAATCTACCCTGATCTCTCTCCTGTGTTTTTGTACTTGGGCTTTTTTGCGCTGTATAGATAAGAGGGAAGATTGGCTTTACCTTTAATTGGTAACTCTTGGCTCACAAGTTAGAAAGCTGGTTGTGCACTTTTTAAATAATGTTTGTTAAGGATATTGTTGTTGTGTTACCAACCAGCAGAGTGTAGAGCACAGAGAAACGTTGCTGAGAGCAATGAATAAGAGATGTGCAAACTGGTTTATCAAAAATTTACTTTATAGTGAAAAAACAATCTCATAGTCTTTAAATCAATCCAAGTCTTTGCCAGTTAAATCAGTCCAGTTTATCATTTGGGGAGGTGTGTTTTCAATTCAATACCACCTTCAGGTAAATCATAGGTTGATACCAGGGGTGAAATCCAGCAGGTTCTGACAGGTTCTGGAGAACTGGTAGCAGAAATTTTGAGCAGTTCAGAGAACCGGTAGCGGAAATTTTGAGTAGTTCAGAGAACCGGCAAATACCACCTCTGGCTGGCCCCAGAATGGGGTGGGAATGGAGATTTTGCAATATCCTTCTCCCAGGAGTGGGAAGGGAATGGGGATTTTGTAGTATCCTTCCCCTGGAGTGGGGTGGGAATGGAGATTTTGCAGTATTCTTCCCCTGCCACGCCCACCAAGCCACACCACACCCACCAAGCCACGCCCACAGAACTGGTAGTAAAAAAATTTGGATTTCACCACTGGCTGAGACTAATATAAACCATAAAAAGCAATTCAATAAGAAAGACTTTTAATGAAAACTTAATTCCATCTTTATAGGCATTCCTTCTGAGCAGTTGCTTAAAAAAGATAATATCAGAGCAGCTGATGACAACAACCAAGAATGATCAAGAAATGGTGAGCAAAGTTGATAATCTTATTTCCCCGAACATGGATGTTGTTAGCAGTATCATTATCATGCAGAGTGATGACCTACTGTGTGTATATCCGTGATTTTCTTGTGGCTTTCTTGCCACAATATTCTGTTTCTAAGATGTAAGATTCAGTAAAAAGGGGCATCCCCACGTGCGGATTTTGAGCATGTTCCAAATCTGCTCTGAACTTGTGTGATTATATAGCGCTGGATTCTTTCAAGTGCTGAGATAATATTTTCCTGGCTCGGTGTAGTTTATTTGATATCCAAGCAAAACTGGCATTTTCTCTGCAGTGCTATGACTTCTGGTTGGCTCTGTTCCCATTAACAGGATCCCATCACTTATTTTCTCCTCATCCTCCCACCAGAATTAGGGGATTGCAAAATCATCAAGTTTTCCCTTTGTCCTTTTCTGTTTTCCTGAATCCATCTGAATACTCAGCTCTCTTTTGATGAAATGAGAAAGTAACTCAGCAGTGCACTAAATCATAATATTATTTCAACCTCCAATCTTTCCATCTAACTATTACTTTATGTAAAAGTGTGTTTTCTTATTTCTATCTCTATTCTAGCTTTTCATTAGGCCATCATTATTTTAGAAAAGAAGAAGGAAAAGAAAATATTTCCTTTCTATCCATCATCTCTTGCCCAAATTAATACTTCAATTCTTATTCGTTTTTTAACTTGCCTCCCATACTCCTCTCTTGGATCTTTATGTCTATCAACACCGACGTCTTCACCGTTCAATCTGGGTATTTCTCCCATCTCTATCCTCCTAAGCTGCCAGGTCTGCCAGGTCTCCATGCCCTGAGAGCAGTCAGTTTTTCTTTACAAGTCCCACGGTTCATATTGTCATATCAGGTGCAGTGTGCCAGTCACTGAAGGCTCCTTTCTTCAGCGTCTAGGCTCAGTGCCTGAATCTTCTGGTGTTGCACCTGGCTGGTTTCCTGGCTGACATTCAACCCCTCCCCCCCTCATTTGCTGACACTGTTTCTCTCAGTCCAGTGTTGACTGACTACAAGGAGAAAGCAGCTGCTGTGTTAGAAGGGGAAAACATGGAGAGTCATATTAATTGTGTTTTATTAATTTATTTGGCCTGGTACTGTCAGTTTCTTTGTTCTGCTCACTTTAAAATGTGCCCCCCCCCTGCAAATATCTCATGGTGTAAAGAATGTCATATTGTCTTGTGTAAGAATTTTTTAACTCGAAGTAATTTTAGTCTTCTCTCTGACCGCCAGCAACCACTATCTTCTATCTGGTGGTAACAAAACGAAAGCAAAATTTTAGAAAATGATTACATACGCTTTTCCTTAATTGTTACATGAATGCTGTTGCTGTAAGAAGTTCTTATAGCAATGATGGTTGTTATAAAAGCAACCTTTACAGTTAGTTCTTCAATCTCATTCAGTTAAAGGTAGTTTATACGGTACCTCTCTGGATAATCCATGCACTATTGAACTGTTAGGGGGAAAAATCCTACCATTCAGTTAGACCAGTTTTTCTATAACTTGTTTTATTATAACTGTTCTCTAGAACAATGCTTCTGAACTTTTTTTTCCACATGGCCCCCTTCCAACTTCATTTCTCTCCTGCGCCCCTTTCCCTTCCCGGTCTTGATCCTATTACCAGTAAAAAAAGATTAGCACTTACCCATTTGGCCTGAAAATAGAATACATGTATATTCTATTCTGACAAACTTCACAGTATAATACATTTTGCTTTTCTCTGGTCCCTTGGCACAGGCCATGGCCCCAGTTACATGATTTATGCCTATGGCCCCCTTGAAATATCCTAAGCTCCCAGGTAGCCATATGGCCCTCAGCTAAGAATTGCTACTCTAGAGTACTGTATCACAAGCTCAGCATTTTAAAGATGTGTGGATTTCAATTCCTAGCCAGCGTCCACTCATCTTAAAGTCCTTGATACTGAAAAACAGTATGTTAGAAGGATGTAAAATTGACCTTGATCTTCTACATGGCATCTTTTCAAATATCTGTCATTGGTAGAGGATCGCAATGTAACAAAATTTCATTTTAATGTACAGTATGCCAATTAGTATACATTTAAAGTGACAATAAAGTTATTCTAAGTTCATCTGTTTTTATTTTCTTTCCTCAAAAACACTCCACTCCTTCATTTCTGATCAGAGACTAAAACAAAGTCCTTTGGTCATTTTCATTCCCCTGCTCAGCCCCTGTTTTAATTTCTCTAAAACTGTAATGATGCAGAGAACAGAACATAGTACTTAAGGTGGGGTCCGGCCGGGGGTGGTGGTTCTACTTACCTTTACTACTGGTTCGCATTGTGCCCGCGTGTAGATCGCTTCTGATGATGTCTGGGTCAGTGGGCAGAGCCTCCCACCGGTTTTATTACTGGTTCTATAGAACCGGTCCGAACCAGGAGCAACCCACCACTGGGTCCGGCCAAAGTAAGAACTCCGCTCAAGGAAATAAACTTGATTTAACATTCTGGCTACCTGCGTTTCCTTTTTGTGTAACCTTTTTTTTCTTTCTCATTTAACCTGTCTATTTAGCAGATTGAGCATCCAGAATTAGATACAGCTAAGAAAGGAAGCATCCGTCCAAGTCAGGTGTGTAAATTAAATTACATAATTTGGGTGGAAAAGACTGGGTTGAGTAGGGGGGATCCGAGGTGACAATTATGCTTGGAAGTTTGAAGCTATTAGTGAACCTCATCATCTAATGCTATAAATTGCATCAACCCATGGCTAATTTTGATCATAGTTAGCTTAATACATTACAGTTGCTGAGTTCATACATTGCGCTAAGTCACAAACCAGAGTGAATATAAACTAGCTGAATTCCTATCTTTTCTGATGACAATGTCTTAAAGCAAATATGGATATCTCAGGTTTAGCAGTGCTTAGCCAGGCAAATCTCAATATTCCTGTTGGGCAGATTATGAACCATGGGCAAACCATGGAGAACAAGTCACAATTTCTCAATCTTGATAATGATCGCCGGTTACAGCTATCTTCTCAAGAGTCAGTGGGGTTAATGAAAATAAGAGGGAATATTTAGTTGAAGTATGTTATGTATATTTAGTGGGGGAATAGGAGCACTCAAAAGTAGCCTATTGCAGATCATAATCCACTGGGCAGCCACAAAGATTCTGTGAACACCAGTGCAATCCCCAAACTTAAAATATTTGCCTTGCAGGACTATTGCAAATGGCCTGTGGGACTTCATTGCTAATGAAATGTAGGGGCTGAATTTATTAGGGCGTTTGCTGATTCAAATCAAACAACTACTTTAAACTTCTGATAGCATCACGAAATTTTGTTCCTCATCTATAATTCTTTCTTCTTTAACTCCTAAATGCCAAAGGGGGATACTTGAAACACAACAACAAATACACTGTATTGTTATATGGATATTATTATCTTTTTAGTATAATTTGATATTGTTTGCCATGCTTAAATTCATTTGCTACAGTGATAACCATACAGCATTTGCTGGATCAGACCCCTGAAAATTCTTTTTTTGTTAGTTTAAACCTAAGCTCAACATGAAATTCTTTCTCTTAATCCTAAATTTGGTAGTAGTTCCCCCCCCCCAATGCTTTTATTTTGGTCAATGAATCATATTTTTTATTCTCTACAGATATTTCATTCTGGTTTTAAGTCAAGAAAATGGCTACACAGTAGTAGATCAAATGAGGACGATTGTGTATTTGAGAAGATAAGCGAAGAAGATTTGTGATTGACGCTGATACAAAGAGTATTCATTCTTGCTGGTTTTAAAATATCACTTAGCCAAGATCCTTACTGGCAAGTTGCATCATTTAGGGTCCCAGCCATTACAGGTAGTCCTTGACTTACGACCACAATTGAGCCTAGAATTTATGTTGCTAAGTGAGACATTTGTTAAGTGAATTTTGCCCCATTTTACGACCTTTCTTGCCACAGTTGTTATGTGAATCACCGCAGTTGTTTAGTAACATGGTTGTTAAGTGAATCTGGCTTCCCCATTGACTTTGACTGTCAGAAACCCTACAAAATGTGACCCTAGGACACTGCAACCGTCATAAAAATGAGTCAGTTGACATACGTCTGAATTTTGATCATGTGACCATGGGGATGTTGCAACGATTGTAAGTGTGAAAAATGGTTAGAAGTCATTTTTTTCAGTGGCATTGTCACTTTGAACTTTTGTAAGTTGAGGCCTACCTGTACTACGTCAAAATTACAAGAGGACAGGTTTTATATTGTTTTAATAACAGCCAATGCAAAAGTCCTCAAGCACCGGAAATCCTGCTGTAGACAATTTGCTGCAGCTAGGAGATTTGTAAATATTTTACCCACATTTGTTTTTGTATTTTTTAAAAAAGACCTTAAAATGAGAAATAGATCCTAGATCAAAATAACACCTACCATTCCCTGAAATTGTCAGACAAAATGTACTTAAAAGTTTGGGCAAACAAATCCTCATTACTGTTCTTTTGGGATGCAAACTTTCCCAGATGCTTTAATCAGATGATAAATTATGCAATGCGCTGAATGATATGAATTTCGTATGATGAAAGTTTAGTGTCTCAAAATCTCCTATTTGAACTGGAACTCACTTTATACAGGCCGAAAATGTATTTGTAGGGCATTTTTACAGCCCCATAATTTTATCTAGAATTCTTCACTGAAAAATCTACGTTGTTTGATTATTCTTCCCCTTTTCCTTCTTTGTACTGATAAATGAAATAAACTGCCATTTGGACTATTGGAATGATTGCAATGCATTACAATATTGTTTAATGTAGTATTTTTGTGAAGAGTTTTAAAATAGTAATGTAATATGAGAGGTACAGTGCAGTGGTGGGTTTCAAAAATTTTTACTACCAGTTCTGTGGGTGTGGCTTGGCGTGGCATGGCTTGGTGGGCGTGGCAGGGGAAGGATACTGCAAAATCCCCATTTCCTCCCAATTACCTGGAACTTGGGAGGCAGAGATAGATGGGGGCGGGGCCAGTCAGAATTTTTACTACCGGTTCTCCGAACTACTCAAAATTTCTGCTACCAGTTCTCCAGGACTGGTGAGAACCTGCTGAAACCCACTTCTGGTACAGTGTGATAAATATTCTCAAAATGTAAAATACTGGTTGCATTTTTTAAAAGAAGCATATTTCTAATATGCTGAATGTCTTCAAAAGGGTCCAGAAATCGCAATGTGTCTTAAGAAAATCTATTGCGTTGTCTTCCAGTGTGGAAAACCTTAGAACAGCAATCCCCAACCTTTCTGGCTTGGCGGACCAGTGGAGGGGGGGGAGGAAAGAGGGGATGGTTCTGTGTGAATGGCATGCATCATTGCACACAACTTCATTTGCACAAGCAGTGGGCGCGCACACCTGCCGCTCATGCAAAGGGAGCTTCGTGCACACGTGTACATGCCCATCACTCGCACAAATGGAGCTGCATACACATGCTTACTCACCACTTTCACAGCCTGTTTCTGAACGGGCCGCAGCCCAGTAGTGAGCCGTGGCCTAAGGCCCTTCCTTAGAAGTTACATGAAATGCTTCCAATAGCATATATGGATTATAATAGATGTTTTCAGAGCATGGATTGCAATCATTCAAGTAAGGGATTCTACAGGGCAGGGAGCAACTGATGAAGCAGGTGCTGCAATACTACTCACTCTCACTCGCTCTCTCGCAGTCACCCCAAGCCCCACCATGCTTGCGCCAAGCCTCCCTTGCCACTTGCGCACCTCCTCGTTCCCTTTCCCATCTGATACAGCCATTTATTGCCTGAAGCCTGCTTTGGTTGTTGGAAATTGGTACCTAATGACCCATGATCCTTGTTTAATGAGAGCAATAGGATTGTAGATATTGCAGTCACTAAACAATGCGATCGTGGGCTGTTGCACTTTGCAAATGCATAGCTTAGTGACAGAAACTCCAGATCCAGTTGTCATCATAACTCAAGGAATACTTTTTCCAGAGTCGCCCACCTGCACCTCCCCTGTACAGTTATCCCCTGTACAGGTATCAGTTATCAGATAACTGAACACACAAAGGAAGATGCAGACAACTGGAAAGGAGGACAAACAGGGAGAAAAGAAGGATACGCTTGGCATTCACAGCAAAAAAAATACAGCAAAAACACTGCCAAAAATGTACTTTTTCAAGAGGCAACTGGACTTTCTGGTTTTTCTTTGAAGACGTTTCGCTTCTCATCTAAGAAGCTTCTTCAGCTCTTCAAAAGCTGAACAAGTTCTTGGATGAGAAGCGAAACGTCTTCAAAGAAAAACAAGAAAGTCCAGTTGCCTCTTGAAAAAGCACCTTTGGGACAACCATGACCTGGATGACTGAGTATCTCCATGTACTTAAGTACCAAAAATGTACTTAGGTCTATGTGTACAGTATATGAAATTTTTTCAACATCAGAAAGACTAGTTTTTCTGTTGCTTTTCGGTATTTTTCCAAAACACTCTTTATTTTCAAGAACATATACTAAGGTAATATAGTGACAAGATTTGCTTTTTCACCGTAGACTTGTAGGACGAGTCATTGATCCACAAATTACAGTGCCATAGATTTGAAGGGCTAGAATGAAGCTGACTGGTGGAATCAGGAAATAAATATAGCAACATAAATCTCAGATTTCAAGACCGTCAGCAGACATGGGAAAGAAGCAGACAATTTACAAGGTCATGCTATATAGAAGTCGATGTATAGAACAAAATGACGACTATTGTGAAAACATCACAACTGCCCCCAACCTCCAAAAGATATTCAAAAATGTAGAGAAATATTTTATTTGAAGTCTACATTTGCTGGACAGAGGGCAAAAAGAAGACAGTCTTCCCTTTGCCAAATATCTGATAACCCTAGTCTCATAGAGATGCATTAATGGAATTTTTATCCAGGCTGATTTTCCAACTCAAATGTTCCTTTTGGTGGTTTCTCCCACTGTACCAAATTTGTTCCCATTCTTGTTTGCTTTCAGACAGTTCCCTGCTGATGTACAGAGCCTCCATTTATTTTATTACCACCTTCCCTTTCTAGCTATGCCTCAGCCTCCCTCAGACCAGAAGCCTCTGGCTCAGGGGTGAAATCCAGCAGGTTCTGACAAGTTCTGTTGAACCGGTAGCGGAAATTTTGAATAGTTCGGAGAACCAGCAAATACCACCTCTGGCTGGCTCCAGAGTGGGGTGGGAATGAAGATTTTGCAATATCCACCCCCTCCAGGAGTGGGGAGGGAATGGGGATTTTGCAGTATTCTTCCCCTGGAGTGGGATGGGAATGGAGATTTTGCAGTATCCTTCCCCTGCCATGCCCACCAAGCCACAAGCCACACCCACAGAACCGGTAGTAAAAAAATTTGGATTTTATCACTGTTCTGGCTGCAGTGAAGGCTTTGTCAGTCTCCTGATCTACGGTGCTATATTCTCCAAATGTGGCTTCTGGCACACAAACATTGGGGTCCTCGGTGTTAAATGACTGCTTTATCTTAGCCATATTTCTAATGAATAAGCCACGATAAATGAACTCACGCACAACCCAAACCCAATAAATCTCATCATGCTTTGGTAATGTACGATTCCCCACACTGCATAAGTCCTACCCTGTTCATGATTGCATCTAGAAAAAGCTGTAATGTCACCTCATCACACACAAAAATGCAAAACGCCATAGGCTGTTTGTGCCACTTGTGTACAGATGGATGGATGGATGGATGGATGGAATACGGATGTCCCCACGGGGAAGGGGCATCCATGCCAAGGGGGCAATGGTTGATACTTTAAAATCAGATTCCTTCTCAAGAGCTTCTTTGGAGAACACCCAGGAGGCAAGATGTACGTTCAGGTGACTTTATAGTATACCCTCCATCTTGGAGTTGGGTTTTACAGCATAGGAGGAAGTCTTATTTAAAACACCACCGGGCTCGTGGCTTCTCTGCCATCTAACGGCAGCAATTTCTTGCTTTGATCCTGGTAGGCTTGGCAGGGAGGCGGCGGCTCTGGTATCAGCCGGCCTGCGGGTGGCGCCAGTGGCATCGCCTCTTCGCTGCCTGGATAGAGTGACGCAGAAGCCCAAAGGGGCTGTGGGGTTTGAGTCTTGGGAGACACAGCAACGGTCCTTTGACGAAGCTCCAGCAAGCCGTCGCTATTAATTGCCCAAGACTTGCCAGCATGGGGGGGAAAAAGCAAAGTGGCTGAGAAATAAGATGCTTTTTAAAAGGGCTGCCTCTTTATAAGAAGTCTTTCCAAACATGCAAAAAAATAAAATAAAAATAAAAACAAATCTGGACTAAAAGGAATCAATCCCACACCTCTTTTTTGGGAGGGGGTGGGAGCCTTCACTCATCAAGACTCTTTTTTTTTTTTTTTAACACAGAGCCAAATTTACACATGTACACACAAGAGTTCTCAATTGAGACGCCAACAATGACCAGACACAAACGATCCTACTTCAGGCCCCTTTTGTAAAGACCCAGCTATATGTGGGGTGGGGGGGGAAGGCTCTAATGCTGGGGAAAACGTGGAAAGAAAGAAACCAGGATGATGATCAGCAGCACGATGGATGGACTCCTGGCGGAGATGAGTACTCTTAGGGACGGACCATCACAGAGACAATCTTATTTACTGCATGTGGTGGTCGCTATAAGAGTCGAAACCGGCTTGATGGCACACAATCAAAGTGTCAACACCGACTTGGTGGCACATCAATCAATATCCCTACCATGAAACCTCTAGGCTAGGTGTCAGCAACCTGCGGCTCTTTGGGCCCTCTGCTGTGGCTCCCTGTCGGGTGATACCACTACTGGCTGGCCTTGCCCCTCACCCTCCCCTCCCAGTCACTCCTCGCCTGGCCTGAGAAGGCCAGGGCGACAGCAGGTGAGACAGAGAGATACAGAGAGAGGGGGAGAGAGAGAGACATAGACAGATACAAAGAGAGAGGTGAGGAGAGTGGGGGGACGGAGAGAGAGAAAGATGTCAAAAGGGTTTTGTGGTTCCCAGTGTTTTTTAACAACTGGTTCTCTGCCCTAATGACTGGCTGGGTAGGCGCGGCTAGGGGGTTGTCATGTGACTGGTGAAAGTGAGTGACGTTGAGTTGGCCACGCCCACCCAGGTTTTGTGGCTTCCAATGTTTTCTTTTCTGTGGGAAACGGGTCCCAATGGCTCTTTGAGTGTTTAAGGTTGCAGACCTCTGCTCTAGGCCAGGGGTCTCCAACCTTGGCAACTTTAAACCTGGCAGACTTCAACTCCCAGAACTTTGCTGGCTGGGGAATTCTGGGAGTTGAAGTCCTCCAGGGTTAAAGTTGCCAAGGTTGGAGACTGTTAGAGAAAATTTATTTCTCTATAGCTGTGCCTATTAATGGCTTTTGGAATAGACAGATACATAAGCCAATCAGAGGGCAGCTAATATGTTTGACTCTCCCGGGTCCTACCCTAACTGTCATAGTTAGCAGTATAAAAGGAGATTCTTGTCAGAAACTCTTTGCTCTTCGATCTTCACTTGTCTTTGCTATTTGATCTTAGGTCTTAGGTCTTGGCTCTTCTAGAATCTTCCGTTAAACAACTGTGAGCAGTTTGGAAGTCTGTTAGAAGAGCAGTTCTGGTGGTTTATAATAATAATTATTATTATTATTATTTATTGAATTTATATACCGCCCTACTCCCGAAGGACTCAGGGCGGTAAACAGCCGAATAAAATACATATAAATGTTAAAAAACCATTAAAATACAATTAAATAATTGTATAAATAATAATATTTCTTCTGAGGAAGAATAGTCATAGATAACATAGCTTAGAGAGAATAGATATAGATATATAGCTGACAGGATAATTAATCATAGTGAGTGCTGTTTATTAATTGTATAGATATTATTTTTATTATGTAAATAAAAACATTTACTGTTAAATGATTTAAAGGCTCATTTGTTAAAGTAGAAATTCATAGAGACAAAGGTTCACGGTTCATTGATTTTATTAACCTCCACAACAGAGACCCCCGGCCTAAAGTATCCTTATCCCTATCCCCATATGTATGCTTTTTCTGGCTGGGGAATTCTGGGAGTCGAAGTCCTCCAGGCTTAAAGTTGCCAAGGTTGGAGACCCCTCCTCTAAGGCCGTGATAGTTTCTTTCCCCAGCCACGCAAACCACCACACAATTTCCTTTCCCCACAACGAATCCCTGCCTTCCGCCCAGTTTCCACGCTCTCCCCGCCATTCACGCGCCAGAGGCGAAGAGCTTCGACCAGGAACCGGAAGTGCTGGGTCGGGAGCTGCGGGAAGAACTCGCCGCGTCTCGCTTGGCTCTAAGCGGGGCCTGGTTTTTCGGGAGCGATTCTCTCCGCCGCTGAGGCGACCGGGCCCTGAGGAAGAAGCGGGGGAGAGGCGCCGCGGAATCGCCTTCGGGGGAAAAAGCCGGCCCAGAAAGCCTTTGGCTCGGTTTGGGGCCTCGAGTTGGGCGACACGAGTCTCCCCCTCCGCTGCGTTTGCCCGGTTAGATGCGGGTTTGCTCTGAGGAGGCGGACGGGGAAGAGGGAGTTCTTGGAGAGGGAGCCGGTGCTGGTGGTTTAGCAAGGCATGGGAACGCCAGGTAGAAAAAAAATCAGCCGCCATTTGGTTTCACAGCCTGCGAGGCTGCCTGGATACGTTTTCTGGCAACCGAGGGTCGTGCTTAAAAATAATAATAATAATAATAATAATAATAATAATAATAATAATAATATCCTGCTTGTAGGTTGAAAATACTAATAATTCCTTTCAGAAATGTCCTCGGTGACTCTCTCTTTCAACACCCAAGAAATATATAGAAATATCGAATCGGGTTTATTACTGCTTACATGGAACTGAATTCCGACCTTTCAAGCAATGCCGGACTACAAATCCCAGCCTCCACCACCCACGCCCAAACTGGCTGAGGCTGCTGGGAGTTGTAGTTCGGCAAGCTTGTTTATAAAATCTTCCCCCTTCAAACTGAGCTTTATTAGGCGATCTTGTAAATAATATCAACTGGAGTTGAACAATCGGTAGATTCAAATGCATAATAATATTGACATCCTGAAGACCCTGGCAGTGAGAAATTTCTACAGCTTTCTAAACTTATTTATTTTTGCTCATTCGTTTAAAAAAAATATTCTCGGGAAAATTTCGGGTGTGTGTGTGTGTTTACAAAATGTTTTGAATGTTTCAGTGTATTTTTTTCTGTCTGTTTCAACTCGTATTTTACTGCTGTTATGTTTAATTATACTTTAAATAACTGCTCCTTCAAACACAGGAATATAGAAACTAAAGACAGCTTGTATATTTTCCTACTTTTACTGTGGATACCAGTATTTATTGGGTTTCGTTTTACAACAATTGAACCCAAGTTCCAGTTCAGTATTTCCCAATCTTGACAACCTCCAGATGTATTAACATTCATTCCCCAAAATCCCCCTGTTAATTTTGGAGGTCTACAAAACTGGGAATCTCGTTCTTATCTAACCAGAAGTTGTTTTGTTAATCACTACATTTCTCTTGTTTATAAATTCTCTAAATTATGTGACTTCCACAACATTGAGTTATACAATCATAAACATCACTCTAGCAATATAAAGCCTCCATGCATTCAGGATATGCTGGTAGAAATGGTAAGAAAACTCTATAAATTTATAATGTTCAAAATTATGAAATAATCTAGAATATTTAGAGGTAATTTTACTCTATTTGCACTTTCCCTGGCAACCATATTGGTTGAGTTAGGGTTATATTTAAATATACTATGCTAACATAGTAAAAGAGGCAAATGATTATTTTATTGATCATAAGATCATCAGAGGAATAGTTATTGTGAACATATGATATTCATTAGGATGTTTTACAATATATCTTTTATATCCACCATAACATCTTCCATTTTTCAGTAGCAATCCCTTCATTCATTGGGAGCTACGTCTTTAAAATAACAACACAATGTTATGTTGAAATAAGTAGAAATCGTCACCTATTCTTTTGAAAATGAATACGTATGATCTTTTTGAATTCTGGGAGGGAGCAATGTGATGCACAGTAGAAAGAGATTTAGTAAAAGTAAAATGGATTCAGAAAATAAATACTAAACCTACATCAGGTTATTAGAGCTTTTTAGAAAACATCGGACAAGACAGCTAATTCTACTTTTCTTTTTAATTATTGTTATTTAAAATATTTTAGAATTACGCAGTTAATATTAATGTATTACTGAGGCTTCAGGGGGAGAAGTTGGGACATTCTCATGGAAATTTGCCCACTCAGGTTCTGGTGGGCAGGGGAAGAGGAGCCTAGTTGTTGGCAACCACAAGATTCTGTTGTTTTCTAGAGACGCTAGACCGGAAATAGCCTGATTTGAGGTCTTATCTGTGTGGTTGGGTGATCTAGTTTATTGCTGCCTCAGATAGCAAGATGGGTGGCATATACATCTAATAAATAAGTAAATCCTCCTGTTACACATGGCAGCCCTGCCAAGACTGCTCAACCTGATTGCCTAAGTAGCAATGGCGTTTCCCCACTTATTAGTCCTGGAGGACTTCTACATGGTTCGCCTTGACAAGAAGTTTGGAGCAACTCAGTTCACAGCAGCCATGACAATGATGGACCACACCCAATTTATTGTGAGCTCAATGTATATGAAAATCACACACTAGATTTGTGTTTTGTGGAAGACAAGATGTGATCTGAAAGTGGGGGATTGGGATTGTATATTATAATATGTTAGTCGTGGACAGATTATTCTGATTGCTATGGAATTTGGCATATCTCCCTACTCCACAATAAGGGGATCCTAGTAGATTTATATATCCTCTTTCCCAAGTTTCTAATAGATTTTATGGGTTTTCAGAGATCTCTTGGCAGGAAATTTGGCTGAATTTCTGGTTTGGAATAATAGGATATCTAAGGCTTTGGACTGGATTGCACTGGAATGTGCTGATCTGCTCTAGGAAATCAAGTGGCAGAGAAAATGATTAGAGTACTGCTGGACAAAGATTTGTCTTAAGCTGATTGGTATGAATTCATGCTCAAGCCTACATAAGGGTGATTTAGGTTACAAAATTTTTAGTTTTGCTTATTATGTTGGCTGAAAGCCGCCCAGCAGCCCTATTTAAGGCAACCCTTTCCCTTTTAGCAAAGAGTAATCGGGATTATCTGAAGAGTGCTGTGAGAAATTTTCATGACGTTTAGTGGACAAAGCCGCTTACATTTGATTGAAGTTAGACTCTAGTTAAAAAGTATCCATGGATTGGTTTTCTCTTGTGATATGGAATTATTTTTAGTCTGTGAGACACGAAGTGGATAGGGTCCACTCTCCACTTATTCTTAACACTTATTTTATTTTTACATAAAATTGCTGGGAGAGGTTATTTGTCAGTAAATAGTCTAATACCATCAATGTGTGTGGATGACATTCAGCAATGTATCTCAATGCTAAACAAGTGATGCAGTGGAACTGCTGACCCAGGGTATGGAGGATTATCAGGATCTGGGGATCTCACCCCTTTGGACAGATCAAGAAACAGCAAAGGTGACCTCTTTGCTTTGGAAGTTTTGTTAATAGCCAGTCAGTTTCCTGGTATGATTCAAGGTGCTGCTTATCACCTTTAAGGCCCTACGTGACTCTGGTCCTAGTTATCGGAGAGAATACCTCATCACTTTCAAGAGGCAGCGAAGTTACAGAAAATAGAAGGAATCTAGGTCCATCCATATGCTACTGCATTGAAACGTGCTTATTACAAGAGTGGCATTTGAAAACATTGTATGATGAGAAAGGCGAATTGGAAATTGATTTGATTTTAGGGTAATTTGAGCTTCTCCATTTTATTTATTTATTTAGCAAATTGATTATAGCTACCCATGTCAAACTTAATGATTAATTCCTTATTACAAGTGGAATACTGCACTGTATGTAAGCTTCACAGTATTGCTTATGCAGACTTTACATAAATACAGTGAACACTGATATTTTTAGTTGATTGGTTACATACTGCTACAAACAACCCAGTTGAAACGTATGAAAAAGTTGCTTGGTTTTTTAGTTAATTTAGTACATTGTAAAAGTATCAGAAAATTGAATATCTTTAACAAGATTTTTCTTTTCTGTTATAGATGTGCACTGGACTGTAAAGTGGGTCAGAGCAGATTTAACAGTTTTTGACCATATTTTGCACCTGCTGAAGGCAAGATTTTAGCATTTTTACTGCTACCTGTACCAAACTTGATGAAGATTTTCATACTTGACAATAGTTTTAAAGTTGTGATTTTAACGTGATTAATTTTTTTTTTTTTTGCAACCAGTATGGATTTGTGAGCTCTGAAAGAGTGGCTGTTTCATCTTTAGCTAATAGAAGCATTTGAGAGTTTAGTTTACAGTGGCTAAAAAAGCTGGGGTGAATTTTTCAATATGTTGATGAGACTGATGAAAGAAGCCCAAGTTGCTTCCACTGAGATATTAGCTACAGTTCACCAAAATTCCATAGTGGAAATTGGAAATTAAGGCAGGCTTTGCCACCTTTTTATTGTTCTCTCATATTATATTAGTAGATGGAATTGACATTGCAGCAATAAAGGCCTCTAGAGGGAGCTCAAGCTCTATAAAACTTCTCAGGTCCTGTTAGCACTACTTAACTTCTGTTAAAGCTGTTAAAAACAAGGTAGTTAAATTAGATAAGGAATTGTTTCCAAATACAGATAGCAAAAATGAAAAGTGTGACATATTTCAATTTTTCAATTTTAGAATATTCAATTCAATATTGTAAGATTGTACTCACTATTCTTCTTAGTTTAATGTCCTATGCAAAGTAGCTACTCAAAAAGGCTGCTTTTTTATGTTGGTACAAGATATGAAATGCAGAGCTCTGTGAAATTTTAAAAAGCTGGAGCAATATTTAATTCCTTTGTTCTAATGTTAAGAAAAGTCATTTCTTTGCTTCAGTGGTAAGGAGCAGACAGAAAAGTTTTGAGTAGAGAAATAATATTCACTTAATGGATCAGGGTCACCAAATATTTTTAATTCTTATATAAATGGCAACTTTTCTGCAAATTGCGGCTGTTTCTCCTAGTTGAAGAGCCATATTTTAAAGCTTTCCTAGACCAAGGTGTTGAAGCTTTCCCCTTTTATCTGGCTGACCTAGAAAATCAGAACAATTAACATATATAGTTAAAAATCCTGGCAGGATTTTGCAGTTTTTGGCATCATTTCCAAGCCAAGCCATAAATTATAGTAACTAGGATTCCCTCCTGGTTTCCTTCATCCTCCAGCACTTCTCCAAATAGCAGAAAACATAGGCAGGGCATATCTTGGCCTCAGCTTTTGCTACGCAAGGATAAAAGCTAGACAAAGCTTTTATATACAGCCATGACTGGAAAAAAAATATCTTCAGGAAAGAGAAGGAACATATTGACCTCAATCAGCATTCTCAGCATGAGCCTGGGCTTTCTGCTAAGCAACTAAATAAATACTCTGACCACTGTTTATTACCCCACATAGGAGTGAAAGATAATATGCAGGCTTCACCCTGATGATGGCGAAAGGCTAACAGCCATCCAATAATAGCACAAAATCTCCAAGAAATCTTGGGAACTGTATTGTAAAGCTCATAAACTCAGACGGTGGGTGTGCTTATCACACTGTAGTGCCAGGTTTCCTTTTACTTTAAATTGTATCTTTCTCCGCTTCTGTTTGCGTAAGAGATCATAAATGCATCTTGCCAACCACAGCTGTTGTTAGTTTCTGCAGATTGTGACATAAGATCCTTTTGAAAACGAAAGAGGATGTATAAATCAAATCTTAGATTTTTGCTTTTGTTTTCCTGACAGCTCATTGGCTATTTTAGTTGAATGAAATTATTTGTGTAAATAAAAATGTTCAATGGAAAATGCAGCAGCAGTTGTTTTGGCAAGTCTGGTGAGATGCATAACAAGACTTTTTAGCAATTGCTAGTCAACACCACTGCCTGAATTTCTGATGTAAATAAGAAGCAGTTCCCTGAGAAATTAATCCCATTAAGAGTGGTGTTATTAATAGCAAATAAAAGAATTTCTGATCTGTATTATCATTAAGTTACCTTGAGGCAACCTGGTACAATGGTGCTTAAAAGTTTGTGAACCCTTTTGAATTTTTAGTTTTTCTGCATAAATATGACCTTGGGTATGATCTGTTCTTCACACAATTCCTAAAATTATATAAAGAAAACCTAATTAAACGAATAGATTAAAATTGTTTATTTATTAAGGAAAATGATCAAAGAGTTATGCAGAAATAATGAGCATTCAAAAGGGTTCATAAAATTTTGAGCACTGTACATCGGCTAATGTTTTTTGACAATTGAAGAAAAGTATATTCCTTCTCTCTTTTTTTCCCAGAAATCTGTATATTATTTATAATGTAAGCCTGGGGATCCAAGTACAATATTCTGGAGAATGCCTTGCAACTATCATTGTAGTGACCAAAACTAACTTTTAAAAAATGAGAGAATCACAAATGTAAAACCATCAACAGTAGAAGAAATATTTTCTGTTCTGAGAATAGTGTGGAGCATTATATGTATACTATTCCACTTTCGGATCATGCATTTAAACAATAGCTTTTCGTATTTTTAAAAAAAGAATTGCTTAAAACTCTGGCATTATTCTGATTAACAAAGGCTCACAATTTCTTCCATTTCATTTTCAGCTGCAGGTTGGCTACATTTCCCATTCAGTCATGTCTTACGTGTTTGTAAATGATTCTTCCCAAACAAATGTGCCTCTGCTACAAGCTTGCATTGACGGAGATTTTAACTATTCAAAAAGGCTATTGGAGAGTGGCTTCGACCCAAATATCCGGGACAACCGTGGCCGAACAGGTCTTCACTTAGCAGCAGCTCGAGGAAACGTTGATATTGCTCAGTTGTTGCACAAATTTGGGGGTGATCTTTTGGCCACAGATTACCAAGGTAACACAGCTCTTCACCTCTGTGGACATGTTGATACCATTCAATTCCTCGTCTCCAATGGACTCAAGATAGATATTTGGTAAGGTTGTCTCTCTACCGCATGCCTAAAAATCAGTCTTGCCTATTAACACTTTGAATAGCTCCTGAGAATATATTTCAGCTTTCTTAATCTTTATTCGTCAAAAATTCAGGATTGTGGGAGCTGTTGACAAAAGCATCTTTGACCCACTGTACATGCTACTTTTATTATTAATAGAAAGACAAAAAGATATATGATGGCTTTTCTGTTGTTGTTGTGTTTTTTTTGGGTAGCACTTACCACTATGATTCTTTCAGGTCAGGGGGATACTGTCAGCATAGAGATTATTTGTTTCTTGATAGCGTGTTCTTGTCACAAACATTCTATATAAAAATGAGCTTATATCATGCTGCACTGGAGCTATGAAAAAACCAGCAAGCAGTGACCATTTCCAGCACTGCTACAATTACAGTATTGCTGCCAAATATTTAATCTTTTCAGTTTTATCCGGCATGGCCAATGGTGATGAGGATTGATGTTGCAGCCCGGCAACATTTTGAGGGCACTTACGTTGGTTCCTCCAGAGCGAGTGCGTACATGGCATTGTTCTGATTCTGATGCCATCCTCTGACATAGAGATACCTCAAAATAATTGACCTCTTTTAATAACTTGAAATATATGTATATTTATTCCAATGTAAACAGAACTGGTTCAAGACGTCCTTTCTGTTTCATTATTTTTCAGTCCTCACCCAACCAGCTCTCAGAATTTATGAATCAATCTTTCTCTGAAATGTTGTATATTCACTCTACCAGGCTGCTAGCATCTGTCATATGCCAGTTGTCCAGACAAAAGCACTTAGTGTACTGAATAAATAGCCGTTTGACAAACACAATTAACAATAATCCCAGAATTGTTTGTTCTTTGAACTCTTTGTTCATGTATCCTAGTGGTTTGAAACTTAACCATTGTTCTTAAATGATTGACGCTAAGCCTCTGTTCTTTATTTTTATATTTGAGTTATAGTATTTTGTTTGGAGATGATGACTAAGTTGTGTCTAAAGAGGGGAAACTTACGAGGTTAGCATATACTTATTTGAACTTTGCAGTGGTTGTCATAATTAACTTGGGAATGACTTCTTGATAATGGAACAGAAGTTTCAAAGAAGAATCAATGCTGCAACTGTTATCACCATATGAAAAGAATAAATACATTCCTGGTGGGATTGCCTTGTTTACCATCTAAATAGCAAAAAAAAGTGAAGAAAGTGGAAAGTACAAATGTTAAAACTTGAATATGATTTTACACTTGAATTTAAAATAAACCGATTACCTAGTTTATTATATATAAATAAACCCAACCAATTTAGCTCCGAATAGAGGTTTCCTAAAAGTTGCTTTTATTTCCCCCTTTTGTTTCTGTTGTCTCAAATTCAAAAGAACAAAAATGCTTCAATAAGTAGTAAAACTAAAAAGCCAACTACGCATCTTAACTTTTCACTACAGTACAGGTAGTGGCAAACATCACCTGGTTGCCATTTGCAACCTCCTGCTGGCTTCCTCACTGAGTTTGCTTGTTGGAAGCCAACAAAGAAGATTGCAAATGGCGACCATCTGACTGCAGGAAGTTGCAGTGTTGTAATTGCAAGCCGGGTGCTGAGCACCTGGATCATGACCACAGAGACACTGCAATGACTGGAGCTCCAAGGACTGATCATAAGTACCATTGGTTCAGCGCCAGGGCATATTCAAGCAGTTGCTGAGAGTGGTCGTTAACCGAAGACTGTCTGTTGTGCTTTGTATATATAAAAAAGTCTCTATATATGAACACCATAGTTTTAAGAAAGTATAGAATTTAGTGACTGCCTTGTACAGTGACTATTTGCAATTATGATGGTGATAAAAAAAATTAACATTATGAGCCATGGTGGCACAGTGGTTAGAATGCAGTACTGCAGGCTAATTCTGCCAACTGCCAGCAGTTCAATTTTCACCGGCTCAAGGTTGACTCAGCCTTCCATCCTTCCAAGGTGGGTAAAATGAGAACCCAGATTGTTGGGGGCAATATGCTGACTCTGTAAATCTCTTAGAGAGAGCAGTAAAGCACTTTGAAGTGGTATATAAGTCCTATTGCTACTTACAACCAATCCTCATATTTATGACCTTTGCAGATCGTAAAGCAAAGGAAAGCTGAAGTAAGATTATAAGTACAGTTGTGTCCTAGGTATGGTTGCTAAGTAAAGACAGCCTATAATGGCAGGAGGCTGACTTTAAAACTGCAATAATAGGCGGAACCTAAGTAGGCTTTCAAAGTGGCTTCCCTGTAGCAACTGTAACATTTTAAAATTGGCTTTTTCATGCTTCAGTGGACAAGAATGGAGGTCATGCTAATATTGTAAAGGACTGTAAAGTTATTTGGTAAATTATAATTCAAAGATCATGTTAAAAGAAATTATAGTTTTTGATCACCTGTGGGCTTTTTTTTAAAGAAATAGCTATTTATAATGTCTACTCTGAGGTTTCAGGTAAAAAGAGCTAGTTTGGTATCGTGGTTAAGACACCAGGCTAGAAACTGGGAGAATTGTGAGTTCAGTTCCGGCCTTAGCCATGAAAGCCAGCTGGTTGACTGGGCCAGTCATTCTCTCTCAGCCGAACTCATCTCACAAGGTTGTTGCAGGGAAAATAGGGTGTGTTGAATATGTTGACCGCTTTGAGTTATTTGTAAAAATAATTAAGGCGGGATCAAATAAGTAAGGCAATATCTTCCAAATATCTGCCGGTTTTGAATTCTTAAACCATAATAAAGAGAAAATAAAGTTCTAATTTCAGTTTCACAAGCTCTTTTTTGACCAATTCATGTACAAAGAATTAAGAGATTTCAGAAGGAAATTATATCATTCCAAATATTGTTGTCTTTCTGGGTAGAGATTACCTGATACTGTAATGTAATAATTCCTACAAAAACTAATCATTTTACATATACTGATGCAATTGAAAAATATGTAAGATTCAGGTATTTCTACCTCTAGTTAATTAATTCTCCTTAATACAATAGCTAGATTTATTTACATATTTATATTATTACTAGAGATGTTCAGCTTTTTCATTGAAAGAAAGCAACATCTATCATTTTGTGGGAGCAATTTATCAACAGCTTTCTTTCGAAAGAACTCTCAATTAAATTACCTTTTGTTTTAAAATCCAGAAGAATATAACATTCTTGTAATACAGGAAGTAAAGTCAGAGTAACTGTTAGATCAAAGTGCTTGATTTCAAGTGTAATGTAATTTAATGCAAATTCAACCAGATTATTAACATGCTATTATTGTCTGCAATTACGGCCCTGTTACTTGAAGCACTTCCAGAGTTGTGGATGAAAAATAATGAGGTATGGTTTCCAATAAACGAAGATAAACAATTTTTCCCCATAGAATTGGTATGTATATGTTTTTCAGATAGAAACCATTCTAGTACCATTTTTTTATTTTTCCACTTCACATAGCAATCATCAAGGTGCAACACCTCTTGTCCTGGCAAAACGAAGAGGAGTAAATAAAGATGTGATTCGATTGCTTGAATCTTTGGAAGAGCAAGAAGTGAAAGGATTCAACAGAGGAGCACACTCAAAGCTGGAAACAATGCAGACAGCTGAAAGTGAAAGGTTTGCCCTCCCTCCCCCATTGTTTTAATTCTATTTTACTGGTTAAACATCATTGGAAAAATTGTCTTATGTGGAGCTTATTCCGCATAGTGGAAAAGGTCAGGGCTTATTATGTGACATTTTTCTCCCAAATTTTGTAGTTGGAGATGTTTAGACTCTTCATTGGAAAGAGTTCTAAAGAAGTTGGACTGTCACATGGCCAATGAACTTCAGGAGTCAGCTCAAATTGCATATTTGGAGTAAGTCATTGTCTTTGACTTGAAATATGACTTGACAGTCCTTTGTACAATTAATAATTACACATAGAAAACTCAACGCTGGAAAGAAGGTTCTAGTTTTTCTTTCTCCTTGAGATTATTTTCTCTTTGTAGATTGTTTGAATAGAGAAGCCACTGAGTTCCAGTCTGCTTTCTGAAGTGATCTAGCTCAAATACACCTTGTGGGCTAGTTTTTTCATAGAAAAGATATGGGTTTCACAGTCCATCACATGACTCATAAAAACACTGTGCTATTTTAAAGAAAGCTATGCCTTTGCAAATACATTATGAGACCTTGAGGAGTAGGTAGAAGTTGTACTTACAGCTTTCTGACAGCTGCATGCTATGTAGTTAATCATTATTAGATAGATAGCAAAGAAAAGAGCTGTTGCTTCTGGCACTTTGACTAAATGCTCGCAACCCCACCTCCCTTGTTTTGGACATATGTAGACATATGTCCAAAACAAGTTGGAACAAACGTACATATGTTTGGATCTTCATTCTGAAAAAGATAGGACAGGGTGAAAACAAGGCAAAATTGTTTTCAGTTTCTTTTCTCTTTCAGTATTGTTATTTTGGGAAGTTGGGAACCTTGCTCAAGTTTACAAGTCTGTAGTCTCAGTATTTTAGAATTTAATATTGTCCTATTATGAAACAATTTTTCTTTTTGCCTGGAAGGTCACCTCTTATTTTCTGTCTGAATTCTTGGGTGGCCAAGGCCTAGAGAAATAAAAGACAGAAAATGTTTGTGGGTAGGATCAACATTTTCAAGGTTCTCCCCTCCACCCCTAGATTTTCAGAATTGGGTTTTTTTAGGAGGGTTAACCCTATATCAAAGCTTAAATTAATTCATTTACTTTTCCACTGGAAATGGGAGGAAATTGTGTCTGTTTCTTGAGTATTTTGCTGTTGAAATTCTGTAGGGCTGCATGCAGAGACCTAGGAACCACAGCCTGTAGACTGCCCACCCTTGTAGTATACTAAGCGTTCTACTGCCAAATAAAATATTCAGGCAGATGATAAATCAACATTGGTTTGGATGAATTCATTTTTTTTGCATTAAGAATTAACTATGATAAAACTACTGTATTTGTGAATATATTTCTTTCTGTGTGACTTAACCAGTCAGCATTTGTACTTATGTACAATTCCAGTTTCAGAGTTGATTCCGGGGGTTGTAAATGTAACAAATAAATGCATACATATGTACATTTTTATTAAGCTTTTTTCTTTCTCTATTTGCCAGTTCATTACAAGAAATGTTATGTTGCTTTGTGGAATGAGACAGTATTTTTAAATAGATTTCTTAGCCATTTCAATAAAACACAATATTCTATAATAGCAACAGAGAAATATTGATGGGTTTTTTTTTCCTTAAGGTTTTTTTTTTTTTTTTTTTTGGTATTTTTTTTTCAAAATTCTCTCAACTAGAAACTGAATGTAATTTATTTTCCCCACACAAGTAGTCTTCAACTTATGACCAGTCATTCAGTGACATTTGAAAGTACAATGGTGCTGAATGAAGGGATGTCTCCTGTGCCCACAGCTGTGGTAGACTCTGTGATCATAAGATTGTGATCTGGGAACTTGGCAATCTGTTTGCAGTTATGACTGGTTGCCAAGTGCCCCACGGTCATGTGATTGCCATTTGCTTTCTGGCTTCCCCAGAAAGCCAATAGGGAAGCCAGGAGGGAAGGTTGCGAGCTGCTGTTGCCTGCCAAGAAGACTTTCTTGTCTTTCTCGGGGCTGGCTAAAAAGACCCTTGCCAAAAACCAAACAGGGTTTTCAGTTTCAGAGCACAGAGACTTGTGTCTCTTCTGAGGGGCTGAAAATCCTGCAGAAATGCCAGAATTCAGGAAGAACAGAGAGACAGCGGGGTAAGGGACATCTAAGTCTCTGTGCTCTGAAGCTGAAAATTCTTCCTGCCAAAATCCAAGCAGGATTTTCAGCCCTTGAGCGTCAGAGAGATTTGTTCACAGCACCTCCTCCAACTCACAGAGGGAGACCCAAGGACTCTCTCACCGCCTTGAGTCATCCTGCATTCTTTACCTGGATTTCTGTCCATTCAATGACCCATAAATACTGCAATTAGGAGTGCGGAGATTGCAGTTGTTGAGCGAAGCAGTCACGTGACATCTCAATAATCACTTTATTCAACAACTGAGATTCTGGTCCTAATTGTGGTTGTAATTCTAATTGAACGTTTGCTTGTAAGTGGTGGTGCGGTGGTTAGAATGCAGCATTGCAGGCTAATTTTGCTGATTGGCAATTGCCAGCAGTTTAGCAGTTAAAGTCTCACTGGCTCAAGATTGACTCAGTCTTCCATCCTTCCGAGGTCAGTAAAATGAGGACCCAGTTTGCTGGGGGCAATATGCTGACTCTGCAAACCACTTAGAGAGGGCTGTAAAGCACTGTGAAGCCGTATATAAGTCTAAGTGCTAATGCTAGTGCTAATAACATGTACCTAATGAAAGGCAAGCTCCCATTACCTGCCCCAGCTCCTGCCCACTTAAGCAGTTCAAAAGCACTCACATGCAAGTAGATAAAAAGGTACCACATCGGTGGGAAAGATAAAACAGTTCTGTGTGCCTTGGCATCTAGTCCTGCTGGCCACATGACCATGAAGAATGTCTTCAGACAATTCTGGATCCCTCAGCTAAGAAATGGAGATGAGCAGCAACCTCTAGAGCAGGGGTGTCAAAGTGACACCCTGTGGGCCAGATCATCATGCACAAGCCATGCCCACCCCAGCTCTGCGAAAGGAAAACGTGATATATCACGTGACGGCAGTGTGACACCGCGAGGTTGACACTTGTGTCCTAGAGTCAGATACGACTGGAGAGGAGAAACCTTTATCTAATGAAAATGTGATTTTTTAAAAAATTGTCTGTAAAACTAAGCTTAGATTTATTATGTAATTTACCAGTGGAAAAATATCTTATTCTTCTGAAGGAATCTAAACAACAATGGTTTCTAATTTCCCTATAAACCAGGTTAAAGTATTTTAAGTATCTTTTTGTATAGAACCTTGCCAGTCAGCACTTCTTATATCTAAGAATCAGACAAATTTGTATGCTTCAGTTATAAAAATAAATTCTTACAGGAGGACATCTTTGCCTAATACTTTTTTTCTCGCTATTTTTTTTCTTCCTCCTTTCTTGCCATCAAATCAAGTGACTTTATTTCTCTAATTCAAATAATAGCTGTTGAAGCTGTGTGCCTAGCTGTTGTTCTTTATTTCCTGTAAGATAGTTATATTTCAACTCAGAAGATGTTTTCTACATATCCTTGAAAAATACCGAAAAACAACCTCTATGTTGGTAACATTAAAAAAAAGTTTTTTCTTATCTGCAGAAAGACTATCAGTCTTGAGCCACTTCCATATGTCTTCAAAATGGCTGATATTCCAGACCTATTACCATTTTAGTATTTGGAGGTCACTTTGGTTGCAACAATAATACAAGTAGTTTCTGCAACCCAGCTTTCCTTTTTTTTAAAAAAAAAAAGAGCCCACTTTGTTTTCAACAGCCACATTACCTTTCCGCTTAGATTATATTATACCTTCATTTAACCTCTGTAGTGGTTATAGATTAACTGCCTGAGTCTTAACTATTTTTTCTGTCATGCACCAATGGATACTTCTCTATTTTATATAAAAAAGCTCCCTCATTTCTGTTCTCACAAGAATGAGACAATTGATCCTGCAGTTATGAACAGCTTTCTAGGGAAGAAAATACTGTATTAAAAACTAACGTAAAAAGTTTGGGAAATGGCATGTACTTTATGCATATTATCTCTTGTGATAACTCCTTCCAATTTTTTTTTAAAAAATCCTGCCTTTTATTATTTTTTATAAATAACTCATGGCAATGAACATACCTAATATCCTTCCTCCTCCTATTTTCCCCACAACAATAGTCCTATGAGAAGGGTTGGGATGAGAAGGAGTGACTGGCCCAAGGTCACCCAGTTGGCTTTCACACTGAGGTGGGAGTAAAATTTATTATGTTCTGCTGCAGATCCATTGCTGCAACCTCAGTTACTTTTTTGGGGGATCCTTCCCTAACATTCAGGTGTCCTTTTAATTTTTTAAAAAATAAAATATTATTTAAATAAGAGACACAAAAGTAGTATTCTGCCAAATTGTTTAACAAGCAATAAATATATTCCTGCATGTACGTACGTATACACACACACACACACACACACACACACACACACACACACACACTATATCTCTATCTCACAAAAAGTGACTTGCTGGCATACATCCAAAATAACAATTAAAACCATATCACAATATAAATACATCAGACATAAATAACAACAAAGATAAAAGCATAAAGAATAAAAACATAAAAGAACCCCAGAATGACCACCATCATCTGGTCTTATTCAAGACTAAATGATGGTCATTCTGGGGTTCTTTTATGTTTTTATTCTTATAAAAACCAGGCCTGGGCAGATAATTCCCATTCAAATACAGAATTTTCAAAAGGTAGTGACTTCTGTCAGAACTAACAGAATAACAGAATTGGAAGGGACCTTGGAGGTCTTCTAGTCCAACCCCCTGCTCAAGCAGAAAACCCTATACCATTTCAGACAAATGGTTATCCAATCTCTTCTTAAAAACTTCCAGTGTTGGAGCATTTATAACTTCTGGAGGCAAGTCGTTATCTGTACCTTTAAAAGTTGTTAATGTTTATTGAGGAAAGAGGCAATGCTTGTTGATCTTAGAAATGCAGAGATATGGTGGAGAACTAATTAAATTTGGGCAGCCTATTCTTAGGAAAGATTCTGGAGAGAATATGTTCAATCCATATAATTTTGGAAATTTTTGATTATTGGAGAACACCTTCCCTAGCTTTTAACTTGGGACCAGGATAGCTTTGTTAGAGATAACTTTGCCTGTCCTGATGGACAATTTGCAGTATCCCTTGACATCAATTATTGCAATGTTGATCCCACTGGATCGGGAGTAATAATACTGTGCATCAGAGCACTAATAGCATTTGTTGGGGTCCTTTCCGGTGGGAGAAACTTAGTACAGATAACTTAGTGTTAGTTCAGGATTTGGGGGATGGCATATTTTGCCCCTGGACTATTTAACCTCTAGATGCTGTTGCTGAAGAAAAGCAATGAAGGCAATTAATACTGTATATACAATTCTTGTTTTTGCCAAAGATCACAAATGTTTGGAGACAGTTTTAGAGTAGATGAAGATGAATTAATTGAAACTTAATCCAAATAAGACAAATTGATTAACTGTTTGGTGGTGTACCACTAACTTTGAATGGAGTTCCACTTCCTCAGAAGACCCAGATTTGTAACTTGGGGATAAGCCTGGACTTGATGCTTTTGGGAAAGCTACAGTACTAAGACTACCTTTTCTCAGTCTAGAGAGGCTTGCAGCTGTGAGTCAATCTACGGATGAAATATTTTACTTTAGTTGCTGTGCCTTGGAAACATTCAGGCTAGAGAATTATAATACGTTCCATATGGATTTAATTTTTAAAAATGTTTGGAAGTTTCTCGCTTTGCAAATTGTAGCTATCCAGATGCTTGTGGTAGCTTAGCATTCCTAACATGTCAATCCAATATTATATTAAATGAGCTGTCTGCCTTCCACAACCAAGCCCAGTTCAAAGTGCTGGTTTTGACCATTAAAGCCTAAAGTGTATGGAATTGGATTATTTGATGGATTACCTCTATATACATATAGGGAGCTGTCAAAGCCCTATGGTCAATCTTGGAGTGTGGCAGATACAATTATATGGTCAGCAATACAAGATATGGCCTGTTCAGTGGTGGCTCCTCCTTTATAGAAATTTCCATGCGTACATGTTCCATGTTCCATGCGTACATGTTTTGTTCACATATATTTATATTTTCTTTTAAATAGACCTGAAGACCCCTCCCCCTTTCTTTTTATGCATTATGAATATTAAGAAATGATGTTCTTTCATTTTGGAATTATTTTTAATGAATTGGGGACTATAGCACTGGATTTTTTCTGTTTTGCAGTTATTTTGGTTGTACAAACAGTCCAGAAACTTTTAAAATAGATTAGTTATGCCTTCTTCATAAGAGGCCTATAAAATATGTAAACCAGCTGGGGAATTCTGGGAGTTAACATGCACCTATTTTAAAGTTCCTAAGGTTGAGAAACACTGGTCTATGTGATAGAGCAATAAAAGTGGGTATATGTTTGGGGTTTGGGACATGAAACAGTTTTATAAAAATTACACAATGTATTTCTAGGTAAATAAACTGAATTCCTGTATAACATGTTTTACTGCTGGAAATAGCATTGAAACATTTATAATGCTGGCAAAACACAGTTGCCATCTAAAGTGAAAAGAGGTTTGATTAGCCTAGGTTTCCTAATTTTAATGGTAGCCCTATTATTTTCTTCTACTGGTATATAATGGTAGCCCTATTATCTTCTTCTTCTGTTTCTGGTATAAGTAGATCAGGATTAACGTTTGGTGTCCAAATTCTGTCTTCAGGGATCTTTTTATTTCTATTTTCACAGTGCAATGGAAAGCCACTCTCTCCTCAACCCCAACCTGCAGCAAGGGGAAGGTGTTCTGTCCAGCTTCCGAACAACCTGGCAAGAATTTGTAGAGGACCTGGGATTTTGGCGAGTGCTGCTTTTGCTTGTTGTCATTGCTTTGCTGTCACTTGGAATTGCATACTATGTTAGCGGAGTGCTCCCCTTTGTGGAAAACCAGCCTGAGTTGCTGCATTAAAGGCAATATAAATTAATAGTGTCTTACTACTATTTATAAAGTCTCACTTTGTCCTCTGTTGGGCATATGTTGGTAGCTGCATGTAAGGTTTAGACACACACTTCCAAGACATTGTAAAGAACCCCTTCCAAAAATAAGGATGCATTAGACTTAGTTACATTCCTGAGTTAACGTATGCATCAACTGCATCTAACATTTCTTGAATTATCATTAGTTGTATTCTATGCTGATAAAATATGACAATATAAAGAAGTGATCGAAAGCTTTTCCTTTTACGCAGACGTTTATGATCAGGAAACCAATTTGTTAGAATGTCTCTAAAAATTATTATGGAATCAGGTTTTACACTGGTCTTAAAGGTAGTCATTTTCTACAATTAAAAGGAATTTGCTGCAGAAAAATAAACTATTTTATATTTCTTTGGTAAAGAAAGCATATATCATATTTTTCAAGAAGCAACACTTAAGGATTTTTGCACTTCCATAATTTTCACATGAAATATTAACAGTTTTTCATTTCTTTGGAACAAGACCAATATTTAGTTAATCCAAATGAATTGGGAAATATCAATACTTACTGTTTTAATAAGAACTAAATAAAACATTTTTTTTTACTTTTAGGAGTTTTTCTTTTGTTTGGGGAGAATTTTTTTCTTTACAAGTAAGCAAAAATTAATTATCTTAATGGCTTAAAAATTTGAATAGAGGTATTGTGTAAAACTTGTGGCATGATCGTGGAAAGGTTTATTTTGCCCTGTTTATAAAAATGAGCTTTAAACTAATTTTCCAAATAATTTAATTGCAATGAACTCAATGTCCTAATCTCTTAACATATGTATTGTTGTATATGTAAAATGAGACCTGACTTGAAACTCTACTTTGAAGTAAATTAATAATATAGCTAAATATAGGATCTGGTGAATAACCTCACTAAGATTATCTACCTAAGATTGATGGTTCAGGCACTTAGTGATGCAGGAAGTAATGTCTGGTTTTTTGCTGAACCGAAAATTCTGAAAATGGATCCAGATGTGCTGGAGCATATCCTGTCTCATAGAGTTCTATTTATATCCAGGCAAGAGAGAAAATGATTGTTGATCTCTCTTCTTATATATCCAAATAAGTAATTAATAAACCATCTAGAAATTGAAGCAAGTGATTAATTTGTTTATCTCATACTAAATTCTTCATGTTCATTCTGATGAAATATAATTTTGTGGTAAGGTGTATTCGTCTATGTATGTTTTGTAATATATTTTATAGTTTATTTAACATTGGAGGAAACATTGGAAATAGACTATTTGTACCCCAGTTTTAGAATCTTCTTTAATGTTAACAAAACATCCTGAACATAATCCAGCCAAAGTTCTAACTTTTTAAGGACATGTGGATTTTCAATTTAGTATTTCTTTTCTTAAAGTTCGTAGGATCTTGTTTAAAACAATTCAAAGACTACAAACATGAACAAATTAATTACTCAAAAGTGAATGCAGCAGAAATAAGATATAAACTATTAGAAGAATTATAGGGTTGGGGTGTCTTTTTGTAAAAAATAAAGTTCCATGTTATGTTATTTCTTTTCTATTTTACACTGCATAACTATTAATTTAATTATTAATTGTATTCCAAGCATGCCAAGGTATTCCAAATAAACTTGTATAAACTACATGTATGCTTCTATTTATGATACAATTTTAAATCAAGAAAACTCAAGAAAGCAAATAATAAAATCTAGTTCTTCATGGTCACTTTTTTGCACAGATCCATTACAGATTTCTCATCTCCAAACATCGAATTACAGTAATTATAGTTGCTTATTAAGATTTATTTTAAGAAAACATATAATTAAATATTAATATATCCAGTTTTATTCAGAAGGAATGCATAGTAATTTCTGAATAATATGAATTTAACTATTTGGTCCATATTATAAGCAAAACAAGACATAAAGCAACGATATCGGCAAATTCTAGGATTGCAGATGATTTTTCCAATGAACCTGTTTTAGGTATTTACAATATATTTGAAAGAATTGGCTAAAAGGAGTATTATTTTTGTATTTTGTTTACATTTTGGAGATTTAGCCAATCTTCAAACAGAAGATAAATATTAGCCAAGGATAGGAAGTAACTGCACAGACACATCTACAGTCTGCTAAGGAATTTAGTGACATAGTTACTAAACTGGTGACTGTAGCTGGTGAAGTTTTCTGTTGCATCAGTTGTAGAGACAATTGCTTTCATTAGGCAGCAAGGCAAGTACAAACATTTAGAGCAGGATTTCTTAAGTTGACATCGCTAGATACCACGAATCAGTTGGAGAACAAAGGAGGGGGAAGTCAAAAATCAAATATTTATATTATCTTTAAGGATGTTTGTTACTTCTTTTTTGTTTTTCTTTCTAAATATTTATAAACAATAATATAGTAGAGACTTTGTCGTAAAGTTCAAAAAAATCATATTTTTAGTATTACAAAAACAATTTGATGTACTTTGTTTTGTACATTGAACCTCAATTCTACCATCATAACCCCCTCTGTAGAGTTTAGAGAGTTTGTCTTTTTTGAACATATATTTCTGTTTTAAGTTAAAAAAAATGTTTCTCAATTAGTAATGAAATCAAAAGGCTAAAGCTGAGCCCTGATAGCAAGAATATTCATGAGTAATCTGGACATGTTAGATTACCCCCTTTATGAAAAGAATCGGAAAAAGAAGGTGGGGGAATGACTCAAGGAAACACCAATTTAAAGCAATCTCTGCATTTTAAACCAAATAGCACACTAAACAATATTTAACATCTAAGTGAAAAGTAAGGTTATTACCTAAACTAGCATAAAGCATAGTAAAAGGATATAATTTCAAAGATTGAAAATTTCTTTATCATCTGTTTTTCCAGAGTGAATTATGCTCTTAATCCACATCACACATTCAAGATACTATCCCAGCAGGAGGAAGTTTCACAATAAATTTAAACAAGAAGGACAAAATATCACTATTACCTGATTTGTTATCTGACTCACACAGCGGTGGGTTTCACATTTTCTTACTACCGGTTCACCGCAGCATGCTTGCTTTGCATGCATGCGTGCCTTTGTGCATGCACTTTGCTCGTACACGTGCCTTCCACGCATGCGCTCGGCCTCAAAAACGTGCTTAAATAGGACCGCATAGAGTCGGGGCGGGAGCAGGCCCACCCGTGATTTCCACTACCAGTTCACCCGAACTGGTCCGAACTAACTGAATACCACCTCTGGACCCGCACAACTCTTAAGAAGAGAAAAGCTAATGACAAACCCTTATAGTTAGTGGCCATAATTCTGTTTGAAACTAAGGTGGGACTTTCAGAACAAGGATCTCCCATGGGTTATAGTTTCCAAGGGGCTTCTTCATTTTTCCTGCAAGAATTCAAGTCCAGCTATGTCCCTGTTGGTGAACCAATGGAACGCGTGCCACAAGCAGCACACAGAACCATCCCTTGAGGAATGCCCGGCCTCGCTGGCTCCTCTTCCACGTTCCTGTGCACACACATGCTGGTCAGCTGGCTGTCGTGTACGTGGGAGCAGCAAAACCCGGAAGAGCGGTGTTCCGTCACGCATGCCCAAGCTGGCATTTGAACTTTCGGATTTACGTTGAACGCATACGCGATGGTCAGCTGTTTGTCGGGCACGCGTTCTTCCAGGTATCAGCACTCCCACGCATGCAAAGGCTAGCGGGGCCGCACGGTCAAGGCAGGGTGATACCGCGTGCTATTTCCGGCACGCAGGCCAGCACGCGGTGATGTAAAAGGTTAGCTAACACTGAGCTATGTAATGCAAACCAATGTCACTATAATTGCATGACACCTGTTTTACAATCAGTGTACTTGTTACCAGTAAATTTCCAAATACAATTCAAATGCTAGTTCTGACTTGTAAAGCCTTATATGGTTTGATGCTAAAGTACTTATAAGATCACCTTCTCTGTGTAAAGGTGATCTGTCCAATTAATCCAGGGCGAATCTCTCACTATCACCTTTTAATGAACTTGTAGCGAAGTGGACGCAAAGCTTGCTAACAATTGGTTGTCGTCTCCATATTTTCCCTCTTGAGACTAGATTGGCACCTTCGTTGCTGGCCTTCTGGGAACACATAGATTGACTTGCTTTAGTTCCATTGGAGATTAAATTGTGACCATCACACTTACCGTTTTATGGTTGGTTTTTATTGGCTTTTATATTTCTACATTGAAACTTGCCAGGAGGTATTTCCTGTTGAATCTGGCAATATATGAACACAAAGAATCAAAATATATAAAGATGATATAGGCATCAGTTACATTAATTGTCACATGAGTGATTTGCCACAAATCAAGTTGCTTGTTTAGCTTTTGCTTGGTGTTTAAGCAATTAACCAGTTTGTGGGGGCAATAAGCTGACTTTGTATAAATATACAAAAGAATGAAGGCTATTGCTTAGCGCATTGTAACCCGCCCTGAGTCTCCGGAGAAGGGCGGCATATAAATAAAAAAAAAATTTTTTTTTTAAAATGACTTCTGGTTTTTAAACTATCATTTAATCCTATGTCAAAACTATCTTACCACAATATTTAACTCCAGTTTTGCATTAACAGTCTTAGTGCACTTCTAGTTCTCTTTTACTGCTATAAGAAATCTCAACTAGAAGAAAGTAGCTGTCAGAAATGCTAAAATTTAACCACTACTGTATATCTCATCTTCATAGCTATGTTTTTAATTGCTCCAATTAAGGTATTAAATGAGTATTTGTTACTATGGTAATCAAGGAATTAAATAGCCCAGTGATATATTAGGCTTTCATTTTTCCATTGAAGTAACAAACAGGTCTATTAGTTTCAGCTGTAATTAAAGGGTGACTTTGCTTCATCCTTCACAGTTTTTTTATGCTGCTTCTTTTCCCTTGGATATTGTTGCTTGTCCTTTTGGCTTTGCAACCCCATTTTTGGATTCCTGAGCAATAACTCAAGCATCTACATTTAATTTTTTGTTTATTGCACAACAATTTCCAAGGAAGTTGCTGTGGGAAGTGACTTAAATTGAGAAAATAAGCAAGAGCTATTTGACTCAGAAAAAAAACATTGTTTCAACACCAATGACTATTGAAGGACAAGTTTTCAAAGGAAAGAAAAATGCACACTATTTTTTAAATTTTACTTGGAAGTGAACTATGATACAATATTTCCTGGTTAGGTTATACAAAATGTGAGCACGTCCCATCTTCATCCTCCCCCCTCTGGTTATGAACTTCCTGGTACCTCTTCCTGTATTCCAAACATCTATATGTCATATGAAATTATAGTGATGAGTGTTTTACTTCCAGAGTTATCATAACATTAATTCATGTTTCTAGCCTCTACTCTATTCCCTAAATGAGTGTTTTTCAGTCTCAGCAATTTTAAGATGTGTAGGCTATTGGCTGGGGAATAATAAGAATTGAAGAAGTCTACACATCTTAAAGTCACTGAGGCTGAAAAATACTGCCCTAAATCATAAGATGATGTTCCAAAAATTTCCAGGAAGGTATTGACAAACTTTCAATTGCTTGAGTTAAGGAAAGGTGAATCATGCAATTTTAAGCTATATTTGGGGAGGAGGTAGGTGTAATTAAATTATGATTTTATTGTACTTGTTTCTTAACTTGTGTTCACTGCCCTGAGTCCTTCGGGAGAATGGCGGCATATAAATACATGTAATAAATAAATAAATAAATAATTCATTCTAATAAACCATTTAAAAAGCTGAAGTTAATTCCTGAGGACTTCGTCCATGTTTTCTTTATAACAATAGGAAAGTATTTCCCCCCTGCCTTTTATCAGGATTTTTATAATGTCCCAGTGTAGCCTCACCAATTTAAGCTCACTGGAACTTATTCCCATATAGCAATAGCAATAGCACTTAGACTTATATACCGCATCATAGTGCTTCTACAGCTCTCTCTAAGCGGTTTACAGCGGTTTATTGCCCCCAACAATCTGGGTCCTCATTTTACCCACCTTGGAAGGATGGAAGGCTGAGTCAACCTTGAGCTAGTGAGATTCGATCTGCTGAACTGCAGCTAGCAGTCAGCTGAAATAGCCTGCAGTACTGCACTCTAACCACTGCACCATCTCGACTCTATATAGCTAGAAAAATGTAGTTAAGATTATTTTAGTAACAATCTTCAGGTTATATCAATGGATTCATGCCATCTTGCTAACTCACTCAGTTCATTCATCACATTTGTTTACATTGCAGTGTTTAATGAAAAAATTGAAACCAGATGAACTTAAGTCAATAGAATAGTGGCTAAATTTTACATGAGATTCTAAACCAAAATCAAATCAATTATGGCTTACCATGTTGTATGGATCAGGCTATTGTATCTGGATTTAATTTAGTGAATTGTGAAATAAAGCTAATTGTTATTTATTCAACAACCTATTGTTAATCTATGTTAATATGACACATGGAATATAATATACATGTTACAAATGAAATGAATTGAAGAGCTAACATGCATAACATGATATTAGCCATTCAAAACATTCCTAATATTACATGGATGCACAGATACATACAAGCACACAAACACACATTTGCTATCACATTTTAAAAAACCATTACTTCATGGAAGGTTATTTTAAAATATATATATATTTTTAATCATTTAGTTCAACT